CTGAACAAATAGCAACTTCGTGGGGAAGTCAATAATATAAGGAAAAAAAACTACTAAATATTTTGATGAATTAAGTAGTGATGAACGTCTCCTTGATCCTGAACAATACTTTAAAACACAAATTTACTATCATACTCTGGATATAATTATTGAACAACTCAAACACAGTTTTAATGATATGAACCAAATAATAAAACATTTTGCTTCAATAATACCAATTAATATACGAGTATATTCAATGAATGAAAATGAACATTCAACTACCTTTTTAGTAAGCAACTATTAAAATGATTTAACAATATATTTAAACAACCAAATTATTCAACTAAAATAATCATTCGAAAATCAAATTTCAAAACTAAATTCTGTACATAACTTGGTAAAATGTATGGCTTAATTTTCCAGATTTATGTACAGATTGTTTTCTTTTTTTTTTGAAAATACAGATAACGGTGGCAAATTCAGAAAGAAGTTTTTCAAAATTTAAAATAATTAAAAACTATCTTGAAAAGACGATTTCCCAAATTCATTTGTCAAGTTTACCTATGCTATCAATACAAAAGAAAATTATCAAAGAAATTAATGTCAGATATAATTTCTACTATAACAAATAAAAAGTCCAGAAAAATGTTTTAAGAGTATAGTCTTAATTTTCATTCATTACAACGGTAACTATTTATTGATTTTTTTGTACATCGATAATATTATGATTCTAAAATAATAAGATGTGTATTTACTATTTAATAATATATGCAATAATTTAAAAAAAAAATTTTAGTAATTTTAAAAAGATGAATGCACCCCCCTCAGATATTCTTAATATTTACACCTGAATGAGGGGGGCTCGCTGAAAACTTCACTCCCGGGCTCAAATTTTGAAGTTACACCACTGGCTCAGACCCCTCCCACATTTTTTTCTCATAATAAAACAAAATGGTTTTAAATGCCTATTACATTTGAAATTTTAAACTTTGCTAGTCAAAAAACATATTTAATCACTACCCCCCCCCCCAAATACTTTAATGACTATAGCCTTGATTATCAATGTACATTAGATAATTGATAGTAACTATTAACTTATAAGTAAAATTTGATTATACTAATAATATAATTACCTCTATAATAGTTCATTATTCATAATATATGATACTTACAAGTACAAATTTGACTTAGAACATTTTTCATGTTATACTAATAATAACTAAAACCAATTAGCTAACATACGTTTTGTATTACTCACACAAAATTTGCTTTACAACTTCATTTGAACAACAAAACCTTCACTATTTCCTGTTCTCATAAAATATATCATTTGTTTATATAAAGTATAATTATTACTTATTTATATACTTGTAAATAGTTAATATATCATTGAATAAATTTATTTAGTTTCTTTGGACTAAGCTTCAATCCCACAAAACACCTTCAACTCCCTTCTTTTGGTTTTTTTTTTTTTTTTTGAAAATCAACAACAAACTTTTTCTCTTCATAATTTTAAAGAAATTGACCTACATCAAATGCAGTTTTAATATAAAACTCTGTCACATTCATTTATCATATATACTCGTATAAGTTGGAAAAAGTTTTAATTTATTTACATGCATTATAAAAATATTTTATTTTTAATTTAATTTATACTGTATGAAAAAAGTTTTATTATTAAGAACATTAACCATTAAATATATATTATTTTAAAAAGTGTAATTTTTCAATTTTTTTTCGTACATTAGATTAATAAATGCTGATTTTTTTGTTTAATTATGATTACCTATATTTTTTCCAATTACATATAAATATGTGACGAATAACGAACAAAAAATGTTGTCATTGATATTAATATATACTATTAGTGACTTATGCGAACATTCACGTTCGAAATGGCATCTCGTAACTGCTGAAAAATTATATATTAACTTTTGAAAAAAAAAATAAGGGAGCACAGTGTTAAGAACACATTATAATAATAATGCTTAAGAGTCAGTCTTATAGAAAACAGGTAAACTACTAAACGATGTTTTTATTAAATTTATACTTCAAGATCTGTAAAAAGATACTGTTGCGTGCCAACCAATTGACCGTATTCAGTATCGCTCAGTTTGTTCAACGCTTGTGTGTTGTTAGATGTTGTTAAATAATTATAAGTAATTGTGATGTAAAAGTGATTTATGCCCCCGCACACACAATATTCAATGATATTACAAAATTAATAAATTTATTCAAAAAAATAGTATAATAATGATGACAAAGCCGGGCATCACTGTGTGCTCGCGTCCGTACCTTGAAGGGCCTAGCGTTTATTTGGTTATGCCCACGCGACCGTGCAACACGTGCGACAAACACTAAAACCGATTGACGACTTGAAACTTGACATTGTGGCTCAAGACAATGGCTTTACAGCGACGAGACTCCGTACTCGAACAAAAGCGCAAAAAAAGAGAAAACGCGCAAACAACGTTCCGCCCGATGCCCGTTGACCGACTGCATCAAAAAGAAAATCAGAAAACCCTGGAGGAAGGAGCCGTAGGCGCGCGATTGTCACACCGCGATAATGCACCAATAGAAATTTCGAGAACTTACTCGATCGGCAGCGTTATCGGGTGGACCGGTTACGTATTACCAAACCGGCTAGAGGCCGTATACAAAGCCCAGCATCGTATACAAATACGCTGTTTTCATTGGTTTATTTGAAAAAACCGCGTCAAAAAAAACGCGGTTGTGGCTGACGGAAAAAATTAGTGTATGGAAACTTTTTTGGCGAAAATAATTTAGTTATATGGATTTTCCAACTGAATTTCTCTCTACGCTAATATTTTTACCTAAATTTCCCGTGGAAATTAAATAATTGATTGTTTTGGTTGATAAATAAAAATGCTGATGTTTAATTAAATATTTATTGAAATCATTTTATAAATTAAAATGTTATATATGAAAACTTATTTAACTGATTGTAATAATGTACTATAAAAAAAATGTTAGTATAAAATGTATAAAAAAATTTTCATTTATTTTTTAAATTATTTCCCCATCCATAAAAAAATTTCTGAAGACGCCCATGGCCCTACCTATTGATACTTTTTTACTCGACCTCTACTCGGTGATCAGCTGATAATCTATCCATAAAACTATATACATCTATGAATATAACAGGAAAATATATAGACACTTTGCTCCATAGACCAAAGTGGGGCTCTCAAATGTATGCATGCTCCAGGACCCACGAGAAATCAGTGCAATCCTATCACTTGGTATCTTACGTGGACGCCACTGGTTGCGTTCGACTCGACCCGACATGGTTCAACAAAGTCGGAAGATACGTTCACATTTGTTCGATATTGTTGATCGACACCATTCGACTTAGTGTAGACGCGGCTTATACCTCGTTTACACGTGACGAGCACTGTCCCGTGTAAACTTAAGGATTCAGTACTCGGCCGAGCAAATACCCCCCTCACTACCAAAGTTGACTGTACTCGGCGTATCTAAACCGCCTGCCAAGTAGATCGTGTACTGAACTCAAGTGTCACTTGGCCCGATAATGGATTTCCTATTCTGAAAGCTATTATATTTTGGGTGTTGCGGATAAATATCGTAAAATATATATATATAAATAATCGTTAAATAATCGTTTCCATTTTTTTAAATTAGTAGTTATTACTCAAATTTACTTATTGTATTTTATTAAATATAGATTGTAAATAAATTTTATTAATAAAAAAAAAAAAAAAAATTAATAGTTATTGTCTCCATGTTATCTTATTCTTATACACATATCTCATATACTACATATAATATTAACTACCACGTACATAGTAAATGCAAGTTTTCTAAATAAAATTATTGGTTTCAGGCACGTACCCAGGAACTTTTTATGGGGGGGGGGAGTCCAAAATTGTTATTTTATCTCTTCTTTAACTATAATTATAGTTTAACTCAATACCAACAAATTACTATTAATATACTATAGTACAGTTTATACATTATAAGTATATTATATAGTCTATACATTTTGTGAATTGAAGATAATGGGAAATTAAAATACACTATATACTATTATTATACTATTTACTATTAAACCGTTGAGTCTGTAGAAATTTCAATGGAGGGGTCCGGACTCGGAAACCCTCTCCCCCCTTGGGTACGCCCTTAATTGGTTTACTGTATGTGTATGTTAATACTTAAAAAACAGACAGTTTATTCAATATGTATATTTGAGTTTTGTTTCTATATTCAACATAAAAATTAATATAAAAGACTGCCTATGCATTTTAGTCATGGGAGTGTAAATTCTAGGATGTCCGTGGGGGCTATGTCCTCACTGATATTTTCGTGGGGGCATTTGCTCCCATTACCCCATTATTGCGGCGCCCATGGGCCCTTACTCGGTACGCGGCGTAACTGAATATTTACTCGGCCCTTACCCGTTACTCGGTATAGTATTGAAATTTTTACTCAGCTAATACTGGGTACCCGGTTTATGATCAATTTTCTACCCGCGACATCTCTAATGTTTACTTCAATTTTAATAACGAATGTAGGGCGAGTTTAAAATTCGAAATGTTTACAAATTGGACCAGAAACGTATGATTCTACTCTAAATTTATTGCTACGCTACGATTCTAATGGCATGTTTTTTCTAATCCTGTCCTACTGCGGTTCGTTAAATTTTATTTTATTAAAATACAACTCTTTCCTATAATTAGTTATAATTAGTTACCGACCCATGGCCCCGGACGAACTCATGCGCTCATTATACCGTTATCACCGGCCGCCGTCGGAACAGCAGCATCAGCTGTTGTGATACTTATCGCGTGGGAGTAGCGCGCACAGCTGTAACAAACGACGAAGACCACACGCGCCAAATCGCCCCGACCTGAGGGTTTTTCTTTCCGCCATGGATTCGTCCCCTCCTTCCATCGTGAACACCACCACCCCCGCCCGCATCGTCGTTGAGCCCGCGATTTTTTCATATCGCGCGTGCGCGCGCACGTCTGCGCTCGATTCGTCGTATCATTCTCGACCGCCACCACAGTAGTAACGACGCGCAGTGTATACCCGTTTTACGGTAATTTTGCCAACAACATCTGATACTCGCTTTTCTTTGTTTTGTGCGCGCAGAAAAAAGTAAACTAAAAACAAAACGGAATAAAAATAACAGTGATTACATACCGTGCACCCACGCACGCACACGCTCGGCTATTGATTCCTAGTGATCTTGTCCAGTTCTCCAGTCTCGTGTGTCGGTTGATTAGCGTACATCTGATTGTTGAGCTCGCTCCTCGTGATCCTGTTGAATTTCACTATTACTGTCGGCCGCGGTTGATTGCAATAAGTAAGACCATGTCACGGAAATCGAATGGTTCGTCGCCGGAACAGCAGCAGTAGGCCCACATCGCCAGGTGCCACGACACGAGTATTCGAGTCGCCTTCTTTGAGCCGCGCCGCTCGTCGTTTCGTAAGAGCTAAAATTGTATGCACCGGGACAACCTGTGCACACTTAAAGACTGTGGATGACTATTTGCGCAGGTTTTGCAGCAAAAAATACCGAAGTCGATGTCAATATGAAAAGAGACTTGGCCAAGAAATTAATCGAACGTTATTTCTATTTGATCACCGAAGGCTGTGGCAATGACCAATGTGTAAACGATTACTGTGCCTCCAGCAAAAGGGTAAGTGTAATCGTCAACCTCTTTTTTGCCGTGTATGTATGTGTGTGTGTGTTTATATTATTTTTATCATGTATGTCTTACAATATACACATACTGGCAGTTACAAAGGCATTGTTTCTGTACGTTTTTTTACAATATCACGATTATTTTATCGCATTATTTGGTTATTTGTTCTTGACCCATGAAGTTTTACTACTAGACAGTAGATAATGTAAAATCTAGTAGGTACTTCCATTTATTCTGTGGTTCGACTTGGTACGATAAGGATTGTTTGGTTTATTATTATTTGTTTATAAATAAATACTTTAAATTGTAATTGGTCTGACTTGTTTTTATTTATATATCAGTCAAATAATAATTAATTTATATTATTTGATGTACTTAATTGTACTAATTAATCATTTAAATTATATTTCATCCACTCTTTCAAAATCTGATAAATTTCATTTTAACTTTAAATAAAAAAATTTAAATTTATCTATTACTTATTCCATCTAAAGTTGTAAACATCAGTAATTTTATTATATTTTCTTATTTAAAATATGATTAAATTTTAAAAATGTCTTATTGTATTTTAGTACTTTTATGTGTATATTTCATCTAAAAAATAATCATTTTTGTCATATTCAAGAAATTATGTAAAATTTTTATTTTATTTTTTATCATTGTTAGGCTTACATACCACAGTAAGTCAGTTAATTTGTGAAACACTCGTTCAATCAACCTTTGAGAGTTTTAGTTCTTCATAGATCATCGGCTACCTGAATTATCATTAAGTAACTGTTTGGTAAATTTGTATACTCATAAAGTTCTAGTTAGTCTAACATACATAATTAACATTTTCATCTTAAATGCATGAAGTTGTAGTATATGAAAATTTTGTTAACATTTTATTGAAATGAAAAACACGCATTTTTAACATTACTTCTACTATATTTAAATCATTCTATTTAGATTAATTCATTTTATGAAATAAAATTCTTTGATTTTTTTCTATAAATATATAATATTTTTGATTTTATAAATACATTTAGAATTATAATAACATGATGAATATAGTAATGTTTAATATACTCACTTAGGTAGTTAATTTTGTATGCTTTAGTTTATGTTATAAAAAAAAAAATTTAATTAATGATTTATATTTTCTAGCTCTTAAACATAAATAATGTAAATTATAGATTAGTGTGCAAAAAATTTGGTAATACGTGTATATTTAGCCATACAAACGTTTATTAACAAATATAAAATTTTATATTAGTCTTTCCCTCATTATAAAACTAAATGAAAAACCTGTAAAGAATATCTTATCTAAAATGTTTTTAATACATTAAAAAAATTATTTAAGGTATGATTAATTTATTTATTTGGTATAAAACTTTACAATTTAATCATATATATATATATATATATATATATATATGTATGTATATTAATATACTATACAATCATTATTTTATAATATATAATTCTATAATCCAAAGTGCAACTAAAAATATTTGTTATTTTAAATTTTTTTTATTTTTCAGTGTACTAATGTGGTATCTGCAAATGATGCAGCCGCTATTGCTATTCAATTATTTCGCCTTGATGCCAGACTATGTGATCAACATCCTATGAAAGTAGCAAGAACTACCAATAACCCGTCAGTTTCAGGGAATACTTTACATGAAGCAACGACCTCATTGGCCTGTTGTAGCAATGCCCCAGATACCCGATTGTCTCATGATGCAAGTGTACAAACAAATCCATGTACTGTATTCCAAGTAAATCCTATACATACGACTGACTTGTCTAGATCATTATCAGATGCTCAGATTACTCAAACTACTAGTACTTGCTCTCAAACAGACTGTGAAAGTAATTCATCATCATTTAAATTAGCCAATACTGAGCCTATGACCAAAGAACATAAAAATCCCTCCATTATACCAATAGAATCCATGGCACAAAAACAAGAAGATACATCTGCTCAAGTTTCTAAGGAAGAAATTAATGAAGATGTTTTAAAAAGTATAAATGATCAAGCAAAATCTAGTGATCAAAATGGTTCTACTGAACAACCAATTATCAACAATATTTTGAATAATTTAGATGTTGCTTCATTGAGTGTACCAGATAGTTTAATGCATGATCTTCAAGATATAAACAAGGCCCTTATGGACTCTGTAAATTTGCCTTTGGAACAAATTGCTTCTTTTCAAACTGGTAATTCCATTTTATTTAATTAATGTCTGTTAAAATATTTATGTTAGAAATTAAAAATATTTTGAATCATTTATTAAACAATTTGGATAATGTTTTTCAAATCTTAATTAATATTCTTTATGCAAAATCTGAAAAAAAATTCAAAAATACAACGCAAAAGGTCAACAGACAGTCTTTTAATAGCATAGGCTGGCACCGTGTCAGATTATTATTATTATCATTATTATTATTGTTATTATATTATAAAACGGCATGTTGCATTCATCATCTATCATCAAATTTACTTACACAATAGGTATAAAACAAAATTGAACAACCGATATTGTACCTTTTTAATTGTATTGGTCAATATGCTATAACTATTTCATACAATAGTAGGCAAAGTATACATAATGTGATTTGTTTATAAATATTGAAGGTCCTTTCACCATATGGCATTAATCCAACACATGCGTGTCAATTATTTAGCGCGTTATTTTACAAATTTTGGCAACAGAAAATATGTGTTTTTTTGTATGTGCTTTGTCTTGAATTTAACTTTTGTGAAGATTATCTCCTACCTATTGTTTTCATTCATATAATGTTATGCCTGCCCATGCTACGATTTCTTTTGGTGTATCATGTAAATGTAATAACATATAATGTGTATTTTAAATGTTAGTAGGCAATGTTTTTTAATGTTTTCAGGTATTAAATATCTTAATGAAACCAATGTGTTTGAACTGATAAACCGATGTAAAGGTCCTGATCCATCTAATGATCATAATGAGTTGCTTTGTGTTCTCTATCAAGTATTCTCTACACCAGAAGCATTGGGTAACAGTTTCATAAATCGTCCACAAGATCATAAAAAAGATTTACTTAAACGTTATAACCTTAATACAACTTCCTCTTCAAGTATGACCAAAGAAAAAGTAAGTACATTGTAATAATTTTAATTTACTCACTTATATTTTATATATATTTTTTTTTCTTGTAGATACGTGAAATGGAAATTGAAAAAGAATTGGATGATAACTTTATGGACACTGAAAATGTGGTAGAGGAAGAAAATTGTGAAAGACGATTAGATGTTCCAGGATTAGCTCGAGCATATAAAAAAATTAGTTCTTCTAACAATTATGGACTCTATAAAAATGCTTTATCCATAGCCATTAGTTCCTTATGTGGTAAATATCTTGATTATAAACATTTATTACTTATCAAAAGTAAATATTCACACTTCTTTTCTGTAGCAAAAATCACTGTAGAATTACAATTTTTCAAGTCAAAATCTTTTCCCATCAGTGATAAATATTTAAAGGATGTACTTCATTCACTTAAAATTATCTATGAGATACCATGGTTAGACGACTTAGTGTTTGTGGAACGCATCGTTCCTAGACTTGTAGCTGCTACATGTGTACTTCCGATCGTTGAACAAGCTAAGCTTGCTAAATTTTGGTGTGAAATGTCATCTGAAAATACATTAAGACGAATATTACATTGTCTTCAAGAAGCCATAACGTTCCAACTAATATCAACTGAATATGATCCAACTTTTCAAGATGAGACTGCTGTTACATTTGCTACAAAAACTATGAAGGTACAACAAATAATTATTATTTAAATTCTAAAACTATAAACATATACTACACAGTTAATTTTATTTTTTTATTAATATGTATGTTTATAAGTATAATTTTGTATAAAAGATACATTCTACTGAATTCAAGGATTAATAAATTACAGTTGAGTCTTGATAACTCAAATGTCAAGGGAGATAAAAATTAATTTGACTTTTGTTTTTTTCGAGTTACATATTATTTTTTATTTATTTAATTTGCTTTTATCAGAAATATTATTATATATATGTATATTTATTAACTACAATAACAATTAAAAAAATTAATTTTAAACTCATTTCCTATGTATCTATGTATTGATTATTTTACAGTACAATAGAACATAGTGATAATTTAATTTGTATATTTATGATTTTAAACTAGTTATTCTAATGATGAAATGTAATAAATGATTTTGAGTTATCTATGCTCTCAACTATTTTTACATTTGACTTATCGTGACAAATATTGCATTAAGTGTATAGGAATTTCCTAGGGATAAAAAAAAATATGAGTTATAGAGACTCGACTGTATATTAAATTATTTTTAACACACCATAATATATATAATTTCATCACAATTAAAGAGACAATTTTTGTGTTTTTATGAACAAATAAGTTTCTCTATGAGAAGGGGAGGGGGAAGAAATCTCATTAAAATGTAGTATATTTAACCAAAACTACGAAAAAAAATTATACAAATTAATAATAATTTATTTAAACTATATAGATTTTATATTACGCTAGTATTATGGCTGGTGAATGTGACAAAGATGTTATCAGAGAAGAAATAAAACCAACTGATAAAACTGAGAAAAAATCTGATGATATTAGGGATGAAAATTTACTTGAAGATATTCTTGTTAATCAACATCCACATTCAAAGAATAAAATTTACAAAACTGATTCTTTGGCTGATATTTTGAATGTAAGTACATAATTATTTAAATAATAGAAAATTGTATTTGACCCTAAATATTTAATGTAGATAAATATTTTGGCATGCCGTGCCCCTTTAATACCCATATCAAAATTTTATAATGAACTATTGAGCGATGCACTTGAGATGGATGACGATTATCAAACATGGAGAGAAAATGGCAATGATAAATTTTCTTTCATGTCCCATTCGTTTATACTTACTCCATCTACTAAAACCCTTGGACTGTACTATGATAATCGAATACGCATGTATGAAAATAGACGTTTCTGCTTAATACAGACATTAATAGGTCAACCTACACACCCTTACCTTAAACTTAAAGTAAGGAGAGAACACGTTGTTCAAGATGCTCTAGTTGAAGTAAGTATAAATATATATAATTTTATTATCTCACGGTTATAAAATATGTATTTATGTTTTGTTTTACTTATAGCTCGAAATGGTAGCTATGCAAAATCCGTCAGATCTCAAAAAACAGTTGGCGGTTGAATTTGATGGTGAACAAGGTGTTGATGAAGGTGGAGTGTCTAAAGAATTTTTCCATCTTATTGTTGAAGAACTATTCAATCCAGACTATGGTTAATATTTGAATAAATTTTATTGTTTTTAATTATATAATATAATTATGTTTTTGTATATTAAGGTATGTTTGTGATAATTGATTCTGAAAATGGTAATCCTACTTATTGGTTTAACTCATTCTCATTTGAAACTGCTGCTCAATACTCATTAATTGGTCTTATAGTGGGTTTGGCAATTTACAACAATGTCATACTAAACATCAACTTCCCAATGGTTGTCTATCGTAAATTATTAGGTAAACAATGTACATTCAACGATCTGCAGGATTGGAATCAGGTAAAAAGTAGTAACTTTTAAGGAAGTGTTGAGCAAATTGTACTCTTAAATTTTTTTTATAGGAATTGTACAATGGGCTTAAGAATTTATTGGATTATGAAGAAGATGATATTGAAGAAATGTTCATGCAAACTTTTAGAATTTGCTATAAAGATGCATTTGGTGAACTAGTATATCACGATCTTATAGATAATGGAGATCAAATTACTGTAAACCATTTTAATAAAAGAGTAAGAATCCAATTAACATTATCTATGAAATATGAAAATATATTTGATACATTATTTATTTATCATAGGAATTTGTGGATAAATATGCTGATTTCTTGCTAAATCAATCAATAGGTGTGCAGTTTAATGCATTTTATCGTGGTTTCCAAAATGTTATGGAAGAATCTCCATTACAATACCTATTTTGGCCTGAAGAACTTGAGCAAATAGTGTGCGGTAGTAAAGTAATATCATTTTTGTTTGTTTTTTCTTAAATGCCTGCTGTCATAAGTATATTTTTTCAGGTATTTGATATGACCGATTTGGAGGAAACTACACTCTACGAAGGGGGTTATAGAAAAAATACACCAGTTGTTAGATATTTTTGGAATTTCGCCCATGCACTACCTCGAGTTTCGCAGCAAAAGTTATTACAATTTACAACAGGGAGTGATAGAGTTCCTGTTGGTGGTCTTGGTAAATTGAAATTGACTATCACAAGAAATGGTTCAGACTCCGATAGGTTTGTATCATTATACCTGCTCTTACTTGTACAATGTAACTTACAATAATACTTTTTTATATAGGCTACCAACTGCACATACTTGTTTCAATGTGTTATTGTTACCTGAATACAGTAGTCAAGAAAAACTTGATGAACGACTATCGAAAGCTATAAATTATGCCGAAGGGTTTGGCATGATTTAAATTCAGTTAACCAGTCAATCCACCTACGAATTGCACTAGAAATTTAATTTTGAGTGCGAACGAAAATGTTTAGATGTTATTTTGTTTTGTTTTTAATACCTGAATAATGTTCATTGTAATTTTTATTATACGTATAAATAAGTATAATACTATGTTGGATTATTCATTTTAATAAATTATGTTGAACTATAAAAAGTTATTGTAATTATTTATGAAGAAAACATCCTATTTCACAAATTAATTTAGAAAACAATTAAATTTACCATTTTTTTTTATTTTTTTTTTATTAACTTTTGAAACAATAGTAAGTATATAATAAAAAAATATATATTAATATGTAATTCTTTCAATGAAATGATAAAAAAATATTTCCATTTTTTATTTAAAAGAGATAATAAAAAATATAATTCATAACCCTCTATATAAATAAGTATTATATATAATCCAAACAAAATTTTTATAGCTCGTCATGCTGAACTTTGAAAGACTCCAATATATTCAAACGAACAACCAAGTCTGCTTTTTTTTCTTTGGTCATTGAACCTTTAAGTATACTGTTAATGCGTACAGTTTCTGAATGGAAGAACTCGTCACCTTTCTCTAAAGCTTTTCTCATAGTCTTCACATATACTTCGGCTGATTTTTGTTTCTGCTTCCCTTCAGTTTCATCCCACAATTTCTCAGCTCTTAACAAAATTTCTTTGCGCTTGTCAACAACATTTTCTTTGGCAAACGCTGCTGCGAGACCATCAAACTTTTCTAATGTACCAGGAAGTCCAATGTACAAAATTGATTTGCAATGTTTAACAACAAAGGTCTGCAATTTTTCGCGGCTGAAATCTTCGTCATTATAAGTGTAAGGCTCTGGTTGGCCGGTCACAAATAATTTCACGACAGGGAAATCATTTTTCGTCAAGCCGTACCTAAATAAAAATAAAATGGAACACATGACAGTCAACTGTAACATTAGACGTGGTGCACAAGTAAACAGGTCAAACCTAATAGCCAAATCTTCATTATCTTTATCTCCATAATCTTTGATGGGTACTTCCGCTACAAGCAAGTCATCAACGGACTGATAACCAGAACCAAGTTTAACAAACTCTTCATGTTTATCGCCATACGGATACGCAACATCAAATTTGACTATTGAAACTTTAAATTTTGAAAGAACCTGAGAGAATCAAATCATCAACCAGTAAATAACAACAAAAAACAAGCCGAGAACAGAGCTTGATCGGTAGAGCAACCAAGATCTTCTCAAACCGGTGACCGAATATGCGTGTGAAAATTAGTGGTAAAAGTTTAATGGGAATATTGATGTATTAGTACGTTCATCAAACGGGCAGCAGGTAAGAAGAAATATTCTTGGGGCCGCAAAGACTGGGATCCGAGTCTGCATTTACCTTGTCGAAAGTCAATGAGTCTAGAGACACTACGCCTTTGGATTGCGTGGCGCCGCACGCGCAAAAGAGACACGACGCAAAAACGACTGATAAAAAACGATACATCGTAATTTTTCTTTGTCACCAGCAAAAAAAACAAAAAGCACCGAGACGGAACAGTTACACGGACGACAATAATTCCATAATTATTCGTACACGGTAATTCGACCACGTACAACTCCAACCGACGACGTTGACCGAAAACAATTATATTGATATCACGCACCGTGTACCGCGATCCGTGTTTGGTGATAACGCCCGGCTGTACCTGTGAACATGATAAGAACGTGATTTTCGCGATATTCAAATTTTCTAATATAGTTCTTGCCCACTCGTCCGCCATTGGCTATCGGCTCACCGGCCCACCGGCCCACCGTTGTTGGCGAGAAAGACAAATTAATCCTCATGCAAGAGAAGTTCTAATTAACGTGACTACCCGCTCTGAACGATACGATTTCCGTCGGGTTCCACGAACATGTCAGACGATTCGTCGTCCGAGGACGAGATCACGAAACGGTTACTCAAAGATTCGATCGACACTGATTTAATGACCAACGATTTGTACAAAGGCAGCGGCATCGGTCAGGAACCGACAGAGGAAATAAAAAGCAAGTGGTGCCATTAACCGCTAACTGTGTATCAGAGAAGTTCTATGGTGGGAGGGCCTTTTTTTCCCTTCGAATGTTTGTTGTTTATTATATCATACTAAGAAAATACATAAATGTGAATACATGTATGTAGTTCGCTCTTTTCTCCTTCAAAAGGGTCTAAGGACGTCATTACTGTCTATGGTCTTCGGGATATTTACATGTCTGCGACAACTATCTTGCCCAGTAGCAATTACAAATTTTTATTTAAACCAAAGTGAACATCAAATAACTAGCTACTTTAAATTTAGATATTTTCTTTTAGGTATTTGTTTCATCTCCATCTAAATTAAAAAAAAAAAAAATTTCTATGAACAAATGAGTTTATTGTGTCAGTTCCAATTTCATATTTATTGTTTTTTAAATAAATTTTTATTTTATCATTACTTAATACATATTTTTGTTTTAGGTTCTAGTTCTGTTTCATCTAAACCATCTCTGCGGTATATACTTGAAGATGATGGACATGATCATAATTTTATCAAAGTTACTCCAGAATTTCAGGAATTTGTTGCTAAACACTTATGCAAACATTTAGAAAAGTAATTAAAAATATATTATACTTTCATAATAATGAAGTATTTATTTCAGGTGGTTGAACGTGGAGGGATATTATTTCAAAGAAAAAATGTATACCCTCCCTAAAAAACTGTATTTATATATTAATTATTTACTCTTTTGGTATCTCACATACCTCCCTTATCATACATTAAGAATACACCAATGTCTAAAATAAATACTGGTTATACTAAATTTCAATTGTTTATTTTCAGTATAATATTTACATTATAATAATTAAAGATAGACAATACTTAAAATGTGTACTCATATTAATTCAATACTTCATTAGATCATACTAAACACATTTGTAGTACATTTATTTTTAATATTTACTTATTTATGATAAAATCATTAAGTATTATTTTATATTTCATTTTAGTCCAGTCGTAATAATGTTTTACTATTTATTATCTTGAAGATTTAGTTTAATATATTATACACTCATTGAATAACAAAAACAAAAAAAAATTGTATGCTGACTACTTGGATATAAGTACTTATTGTATCAAAAAATCCACTAAAGTATTGTCTATAAACATAGGCGCTCAGAGGGGAAGAGCAAGCTGGGGAATTTGCTCCCTAGGCTTTTTCAAAACAATTTTTAAATTGAATAATTTAATAAAAAAGGTTCTTGTTTTAAAATAGTAAAATTATGAGATTTATCCTCAGCTCTTAACATTGCCCCCCTAGAAAAATCTATGCAGGCACCTATGTCTATATCTAATAATTATACAATTAACAAATAATAATTAATCAATGAATTAAAGTATTATCTATTTTTTAGCCAAATAATTGAAAAAAAATCAAAACAAAAAACATATCTAAAAGATGGTATCGAAGATCATTCAAAAGGTATTTATTTATTCAAGGGATCTTCAAAATTACTTAATTCCATTACTAATGAACCTACGATGAATAGAAAACGACATCATAAATTTACTAGTGATGAAGTTATATTGCAACGTGCTTCAGAGACAGCTGTAACACCAGAATGGATATTAAAGAAAGATTCTGTTCAAGGCTGGGCCAAAATAACAAAAGGAAAAATTATGAAAGTTAAAAGTAACAAAGAAGGTTCATTTGATATTATAAGTGATGAAGTTTAGGGTTGGTTTATTTATTTAAGCTAATTATGAATAAGTAATGTATTAATATTGTACCATTTTTGTTTTATTTTATTTATTTTTTTTTTTTTTTTGATGGAATTAAAGTCATACTAAATTTCTTTAACTATGAGCCCAATATGCACATAATCTAAAATATAACCACAAATAATAAATTATTTTTACAAATCTTGATTTTTAAGAACACAGTTATTTTATATTAATTAAAGTTCAACTATAATCAACTGTATATTATTCAGCCTACTTTAACATACCTACAGTTAACCCTTCACTGCATGCAAAGACACTGGTGTACTGTATTGTTTAAGTGGTTATAGTATGAATAACATGGTTTTTAATGTTATCAATTATGAAAAAAAAAAAAAAACAAGAATTTAGATTTTTTTATTAATTACTCATAATAACACCCATAACTAATTAATAATTCACGGCTACAACGAGTTTTGTCCAGTGGATTTTTTTGGGTTACAAGAATTATGCCCTGAAGAATAAAATATACAGGTACCAAGATAAGTTGTATGGACAAATTGATATATTTTTTAATTAAAATATTACACATATATAATGTATATAACATTTACACAAAAATAAAAGTTGTTCTGTTATATTAATTTCTAATAATAATTATTGTATCTGTATATTATAATTATAATATATATATATATATATATAATATATAATAATGTAAGTATTTGCGAAAATAATAATATCTAAAAAAGTATGAATTTGTAAATAATAATGATCAATGTTATAAATATACAATGTGTGTCATAAAACATAATTAATTTAAAATATGATAATAAAAATAAAAAATGTAAATTATACTATTTTTATAAGTTTAAATCGTGAAATTAAATTACAATATTACATTTTTTTTTCTCGCGAGAATAAATATACTTAAGTATTTATATAACAATATAATGGACACAATTCTGGATTTGAATTAATAAAAACATTTTTATTTAAATTTACGAAACAACATATTATATCCTTGTGTATAATATCGATTTAAATTTACCCCACTTTTAAAGAAACAATTCGTATCGCACTATTTTTTCGGGATATAACTCTTAACCGTAATTCTTAACCTTAATAAAAATGGTGGGGTAGCAACTGCTACCCCTCGCTACACCGTATTGATGCTTATGCTTATGTACATCAATTTTTCCTAACTTGAGTAATTATTAATATTATCTTTAATATAATTATTATATAATGACTTGAAATGGACATATTATTTACACTGACGATTAGAAATCACACAGAAGATTAATGTTGAAATATTAGCATACTACGAGATATCAAGAGTGGCCAATGAGACTCGTGAGCCACCAAATATATAGAAGAGCAAAAAATGTAAAAAAAAAAAGGTCTTATTATTATACGATTTATATATATATGTATATTGTAAATAAGATAAGGTATCGAATTTAATAAAATGTGAAGAACACGATAACGATTTTCAAAGAAACTTAAGAATAAATAATTTAAACCATTTTCCGTACTTAAAATAAAATAAGGATTTTTTGGTTAGAATAGCAACAAAATCGAATTGTAATTATGTACAAAAATTAGTGTTTATCAATTCACTTTGAAGATCGATTTAAAGACTTTAAATTACTTAAACCAGTAATTGCATTTTTAGAAAATCCTATTGTAATCAATGTTATTGAAAATGGATTAATATTAAATATATATTATATATATATTAAATATTAAATATTAAACTCCAATATTAAACTCTAACTAAAAAAAATTTTTTTTAAAAATGTTACGATGAGATGCGAGCGCAAAAGTCTATGACGCGAGCCGCGGTTTGGCCACTCCTGTACTATATGATCATAAAATATGATTAAAATAAACTAATTAAACACGTAAACTAATAATTATTTACACAACTCTATTTCGATTATTATTAATATCATTTTTAGTTGCTTATTATAAATATATTAACTAGTAACAGATTTTACTCAAAGTCCAAAATAACAAAGATAAATCTTAACATTAGAATTTTTTATTTTTATTTTGTTGGTAAAATTTCCAATTTTACTATGTACACAATGAGAAAATGAGATATAATAGTAACAGGAGACCATTCAGTGATAGTACAGAAATCTATAATTATTTAAATTATAATGTACTCCTGTACATTATTGTAGTTCAATACAGAAAGCAAAATATAATATTAAATAGGTACATTATTCTAAGTAAGAGAGAGGAGGCTGCGAAATCAAAGTTGGCATCATGTAATACGATTCAGGGTAGTTTTAATAACTGGGCCTTATAAATGATAATAGTATGGAGGCCGGAATAAGTTGGAAATCATGATTAACTAACAGAATAGGAAAGTTATTAGCATCACAGAGAAAGTCAATAGTAGCATTCATCACATACTCGTATGTCTGTAAGAAGACCCAGCCAGAATTTACTCAATACCACAGAGAATCTTCAATTTTCTAAGTGTAGGTAGGTAAACAAATCTGAAAGTCATGCTGAACGTGCATAGACGAGAATCAATTCGAGCCTGTAAAAAAATTAGCCTTTATTAAAATGTAGGTATATAGAGATGTTGTTATTTTTAATCAATTATAATTATACAATAGGGCTAATAATATACTTGACTCTCTCACGAACACTCAATAATCATTTTCGTTTTAAAAAAGGTTATGGTGACTCCAACTTAGCACCTTAAGTATGTAATAAAGTTAAAAGATACACTAGTTTGAAACATTTTTCGTTATTTAAACTTTTCTTCGAATTCGTGCAATGTATTTTAAACTTAATTAAATTTAAATATACGTACCTGTATGTATTCATTAGGAACAAAAATCTTTTTAACCTAACTATTCAAATATTAGTCATCATTATAATATTTTTATAACCATTTAATAATGTTTAATTTAAATTTAATTTTTTTATTATTTTATTCATAATTTCAAATGATTATAGTAGTGATGATTAATAATGATTTCATATTTGTTTCTTCGCTAGTCATGAACTACACTTTTTTCGTTTAAATTAAACTTTTTTTAAGTAATAATAGATCAAAACAGATAGTTACGAAATTAGTTTTATCAAGGTGACCCCAGCTTTCAAGATTGCATTGATTTAAATACTTATTCCAACAATTAAAATACTTCACAATAATAATAGGAATTCTTTAAAAAAAAAAAATTACTTATTGTTATGTTTATTATCAATTTATATGACATATTTGATTATTAAAAAAAATGTACTCATCCGCTGCAATCACACTCCGTTTAAATAAGTATTTTCATGAATTTAATTGGTCGATATTTATAAATATTTTTTTTTATCTGGGTACAAATGGAATATTCTTTACTGTATATTGTCAGTATTGATAATAATTCTTAATTTAATCACAATATGTAAGTACCTAATAGGTACCTATACGAATAATATTAAATAGTACTTATTGTAAAGATTAAAAGATGTTAATTGATAATTTCCAAACCTTTCATTAAAGTATTTTTTTAACTGATGACTACATAATAGGATAGGTAATCTTCAAAAACGGTCTTATAAATATAATAACAATATAATAGATAATACCACGAACAACAATATAGGTACACCTGGCTATTCCGATTTAAAGTGAATATGAACGTACGTGTCGCCAACCCCATCCAATAAAAAGATTTACATTTTCTTCATGTTAGTATTTAGCAATCAATCAGCAACAATTAACAAGGCTTTAGTTTTATCATAAAACGCAAAAAACCATGGGTGGGCCTGGAAACACGTGTCCCCAGCCTCACCCATAACATAAAAATACATTTTGAAATTTTTCTTTGGCCATCATTTAGCAGCCAATTAGCAACGATTAGCAAGCCAGTCGTAGACATTTGCAAACCAATATTTCGTCCGAAAAAGAGGTTTCCGAAATTTGCAACTGTCTCCTGGTATCTAAGTGTATCTGGTTTGTAAGTGATTTATCATGTTCGCACCACTCCTTAAAATTCCCAATATTCCTAGTCATCAGTTGCATACACAGAAGGAATAATAAATGTCCTAGACCCATAAAAAAAATGTTAATAGATCTCATCTATAGACTTTTCGGTAAAAAATAATTAAAAGAAAAATAATTCTTTCGGGTTAAATTGGTACACCGGTCTCTTACTAATTTAATCACATATTTATCGCTTTATACTTTCAACTCAAACATCAATTAATAATATAAATATTTTATATTTCAGTCAAACAGTTTTTTTTCTGAATGTGTTAAGAATAGTAATTATAAGATAAGCGTAGATGAAAGCCTATAGGTAATGTTAAAAAATATTTTTTTCTTTTATCTTAGAAATGTCAGAAACTTGGCTATTTGGCTATTATACTTCGACAGTTATTTCAAAAGACTCAACTACGCTTTTGAAGAGATTGGGTAGGTTCCTAGAATTTAATTCTAATTTATTGTATGCAAATGTATTTTAAAACAATTATGTTATTATTGAGCATTTTTTCAATATTCAAATAAATCTGCAATGATATTACGTAAGATTTTTTATGAACATATTATTGGTTAAACAAATAACCAAGTTTTATAGTGACGTATTTGATACTTGAAATTAATCATAAGGTACTCGTAATTAGTATCATAAAATTGGTTTACAGATTTGATAAAAACATGATCGGAATGAATGACCATACAATTATATGAATACGAGTGTGTAGTTACGCGTAAGCAATCAAACGAATAAGGTTAACCAAGAATTTAAATTGTAGAACTCAACGGTATTCTCGTATATTCAATAAACGCAGAAGTTCCATTCGTATATAACAATTTTAAAGGTAATTTTATTTTTAATTTATAATTTTTACTGATCTTACTTCTAGCAACAATAATTTTATTAAATAATTATGTTTTTATTTGTGTCGACTAGTAATAAAAATGTATAAGAGATAAATCGATAATATTTTTGATAGTTATTCTATGCTTATGAGAATTGGTCGATGACATACACTGCACGGGAAAATATAATATATTTTATTTAGTACCTACAATATTTAGAATGATATTATTGATTTAAAATTTTTTTGCAAATGTATAGATTTTGTTCTCATGACTTTTTTATAATATATTTATTTCCAAGCAGAAAATAATAATTATAATATAAACTGATTTAATGTTGATATATTTATAATAATTAATTAGTAGAATTGACAGTAAATTTACAAGGATTTAAACATTCACACTGTTGTAGATAAAATTTGTATTTCTACCAATGACAGTGGCTCATAACTTGTATTCAACTCAAATTTTAAGAACCATATAATAGTATCTAAAAAATTATAAATGAATAATAATAATAATAATATTTTTTTATTATTGAGGAATTTTGTTTACCTCATAGTTCTATAATTTATTCTCTATAACAGTTATAGAGTGTAAACCATAGAGGTATTATTTATCAATCATTAAAAAAACGAAGACATAAAAAATGAGGTATATTTTTAAACATATGAAAACTCAAAAAGTATAAAACTAATTCAATCATATTGTACATCTTTATAGTGGGTATTTATTTTTATATAAAAATGACTATACTAGAGAGTTCTTTTAAAGACGTATGAAAAACCAATATTTTCAATATTCTCTTATCCCGGTGATTCAGTTCTTATGTACAGGTATATATGAACCCAGACTTGAAAGCATTCAACAATTTCCAGCAATAACATAACCTACATCTAATATTTATTATATTTCTTAAATATTTTTTTAGAAAATATAATAGTAGAATGTATTTATACAAATAAACAATTTGTTTTTTATTTCACAAAATATGAACTTCATTCATTTTATTTTATTTATATAATGTCGCATAAGTTTAACAATGTATTATATTTGTACTATGTTGCTTTTGTAGGTAAATTATATTTAATTTTATAAATAAAAATTACAAAATATAGATTAAATAATATAATAAATAATTATTACGTATATTTACGAGACAATTGTATACAATTTATAAAATGTTATTGTTAAATTGCGTTATCCAACTACCTATACAATTTATATTTATAATGACGTAAGACGAACATTCACGCCGACACCATTTTGTTGCTTATTTTATTATTGCCCTTATTAGAAGAACTACGTGACTATCATTTTTACAATAATATCATCTAATTAGTAAATGTAAGGCTCAGTAACAAAATATACTTACGACTAATAATAGCAATCTTAAAAAGTCGATCCAGCGCTCAAAGGCCGCGCAGATAAGATTAAATATTACTTTACTACTATTTCTATTATTATATAATTTATATGTTTGTGATAATTTTCCTAAAATCTTCAAACCTCCAAACATAGCTCTAAGACACTTATTACTAACATACAATTAATTTCTTCCTACTGTTCTCTGTTAATGTAGTACTCTTCATATGGATATATTTATTCGTTTTTGTAATTAATCTAATTGTAACCAATGGCCATAGTTGACGGTTTTTTTTCGAAATTAATAAAAAAAAAAAATGTATATGTTTGCTAATATAAAGGTGTATAAAATAAGAAAACTAAAGTGATTAAAAAATACTGTACTGAAAAAGTAATAATGATTATTGCATACAACACTCTGGGAAGTGTTTCATCTTGATCATTCCACGTGCGGGATGTATGATAAAATGCGTTTAATAACACGCTGGCAACCAACAGGTGTAATATACTTGTTTATTTTAAATATGAATGCCAGAAACCATTTTGTTTAATAGAACGTCAGGTTGATTTTTAGTGCAATATTTCACTTTGGGTTGAATACTGGTAGTCCGAGCAACGTGCATCATATTATGTTACAGAAGCTTCTGTTTGAATTTTATACGATTAGGTCATTTTACATTTGTAGTCTTATTAATCAAAAGCATATTATTTAATACCAACATTATGTAATTATTCCATTTGTTCATTTATGGATTTCAAAACATATATGTTTTTTAAATCAAATGTGCAATAAATTTAATAATTATAACACACATAGGTAGACCAATATTTATGTTTCATACATTTATATATAATTTATATTTATTTACTAATATTTTGTATGCATCATGTTTTTATTATAGGTAAGTCAAAATAATCAACAAAGTATGTTTTTATAAAATAAAATATTGTTAACATTTTAAAAGTGTGCCGGTTTACTTGTTAAATAGTTTTTATCTTTGTCGATTGTGTTTATTTTTAATAAAATATATTTTTAATAATAGAGATCAATAAAGGTCGAGACATATAAAAATGTAGCCATTCTCGTTAACTGGATACCTAGGCTATAATAGTACCTTTATTATCATGATGCCCATGTTAAACAGAGTGTCCTGCGAAGACATAAACATTGCTAATAAAACCGAGCAAAACCATATCTTCGTAGGACACTCAGTGTATAGGTATGTGTATTCATAAAAATTTGCTGGCAATAATTATTGCTTCTTGAGATGAGAAGATAAGATGTAGACTTTTGCAGATTAAAATGGTTCATTTATAGGTTAGCAAACTTCAAGTAATAATCAATTTATATTTCATGACTTTAGAACATGCACGATATGATAATTATAACACTTGGGTGTTATAATTGTATTATATTTATGTATTTTGTATTAATAAAAATGTATTTTAATTTCATTCAGTACCTGTATCAAATTCACAAAATCATTTTATACTTTCACATTCCAGGAAAATACGAGTACTAAACATGAATTCAAAAAAAGCACATCGCATTACAACATAGAGAGGGGACTTAGACCTTTATCAGTGTGAATTCAATACTTCCCCCTACTTAAAACCGTCTCAATGATAACAATTAATTTCATTCATAATTCACAGTATGTAAAATTTAAATGTGTTGTTAATTTTAATTTATAAACAAATTATGATCGTGAGGAGAAAAACGTTGACACCGTATGTTTAAAATATATAAAGAAGCTTTAGCCCCTCTCAAGTTCTATAATTCTATGCAAATGCAATACAGTTTACAAAGTATAATTGCAAGATCTAAATGTTTAGTTTGTGTGCAAAGAAGGAGATTTTAAGTATTAAATATTACGTCTCAATAAATTAAATTTATCTGATCGCACACAAAAAGGATCGTTGACTTGAATATACTATCTATAAATAATAACGCATCAATATAATATTATGTTGTAAACACTTTTAAATGTTTATAAATGTTATAAATAATAAACGTAAATAATCATTTATAAACGTTATATAAAATTATAATTTTCGTTAAACAATTATTTAAAGACTATATTATTGTGAGTACTACATGGGCACCCAATCATTAACTCGAACAACGAAACACACGACCTATTTTTTGATATGATTTGTACACATTTATGATGTGAGGTGATTTTCTATGCCGTTTGCATCCAGTGCGCTACAGAAATATATACTTTATCGTTTATAAAAAAAAAAAACCTCTTCAATAATAACAATTTGAGACGAAGAAATGAATTTCCATTTAACGGTCGCGCTTATTATAGTATTTAAAGAGCATGCTCGGCTTGAAAGTGGTGTTGAATTATACGGCAAAATTGCAGAAATATCCGGGTGAAAGCTTGCAACTAGTTTTATTATAAATGTTATTGATCACGTTAATTATACGCGCGTTAAAAAACAAGAAAACACACTCGCGTATGGGTGTACAACTACACATTACGAGAAATTTTTATGTTTTTCTTTGGGTGGAGTATTTTCGCAATGCGAGCGGGGATAATTATTCTAACCCAAATCTGCGATTAACAAAATATAATTTATCACACGTTCTTAAATTTTTTTGTAGCAGGAGTGCCAAAAGGAATTCAATGTCTAAATTTAGGTCCATCCATTATTTATACCGCCGTTTTTGAGAATCACTGTATATCCCAAAAACTTTTGAAAAATGTTGGTTAACCTATTCACTAATGGGATAAGGTTTTGAATTTCTTTCCGAATAAAAAAAATTGCAAATGTGCAATATTTTCGACGTCCCTTTTCTATTATACCTTTCCAATTCGAACAGTGCAGACATACGTAAGTATTTGACCGATTCGCGCATTACTACTGCGACACTGTCCCACTGACTCGGCACTGACGCCCGTTGTAGGCATGTATGAAAAATTTTACAATTTTGACTATTTGTACACCCACTACTATTCATCCCATATTATTTATGTTTTATGATTATTCACTAGAGTCAAAATAATGAATATAATTAACGAGCTTTGGTAGGGTACATGATTTTCTTATCAACAATAATAAATATTTTATTAGTAATTGCTCAACCATCGAAACGGTTTTAAATCTATATCTTTGTAAAACATTATAGTGAGAAGGGCAATGGACCCTACGAACAGGTGCGTGCACAAAAAATATTTTGGAGGAAGTTTTAGGTTGTACATTTTTTTATATTTTATTATCTATAAACTACTTTTACTCTAAATAAAAAACATTAATAACTTTCCTGCATTTCGGAGGGGGGGGGCTTAACCTCTTTAATCCTTCCTTGTCTATGCGACAGCCCACGAGTTTCTGAAATTGTATTTTTTCGCGGGTGGTTCATCATGAACGGATTTTTCACCGAAATCGCGTTCCTAATTGTGTATCATCCAACCCGTTAACACTAGCGTCCATCACGTTTTTGCTGCAGTTCGCGCGTCCAACGATTCCCACAACTATCAAGGGAGGGGGTCGAACCAGTACGGGAGAGGGGATGGTCATCTGAAAAATGACCCACAGGGCGGTACAGAACGAACGTGATATAAAAACTAGTGCGCTTTGCCGCCGATCCGATAACAACCGCTACGCCGCCGCAGCGAAGTGCACGCGCGGCCGATATACTGCACCACCACTATTATTATCATCATCATCTTAGCACTGTTACTACACTATCATATTATCGCCATGGTCGTCGCAAGAACGTGCCGTACACGTGCGATATCGTTGTCGTCACACGGCGTGTAGTACACGTGAAACATCGCAACCGGTGCCACCGCGCGCGTGGCTCGGACGCGCGATCGTGTCGAGTGGTATACCGAAACGTGATACGCCAGATATAATAAATTCGGACATTTTCTGCGAATATTATCGGAACGTTCACGTGAAAATTCGACCGTTGCAGGGACGTCCGTGCACCGCAGTTACAGTATTGCGCACTAGACCATGGAACGCCCGTGCACCAAAAGGAAGGACGCGACGGCCGGGGACGGGGACGGGACGGTGACGAATGCGCGTCTCCCGTGGCCCGCGAAGGTGTCGCAGTGCGATCGGCTGCGACCGCGGGACGCAGACGACTGCGGTTCGGCCGTGAGCGCCATAAAGGGATATTGCGTGGACCGGAACCTGCCCACCAACGTGTATCGGCCGGTGGGGTGTGGTGGCGGCGGGAATGCGACCAAGTTCCGGCTGAGCGATCTGGTGGATGAGCTGCACAGGGTGTTCGCGGAGGACCGCGTCAACGTCGAGTACGTGCAGTATCTGATGGAGTCGTACAAGAGCGACCCGGCCGAGTGGCTCAAGTACGCGAAGTTCAACAAGTTTCGGTACACTAGGAACCTGGTGGACGCGGGCAACGGAAAGTTCAACCTGATGGTGCTGTGCTGGGGCGAGGCCCACGGGTCGTCCATACACAACCACCCCCAGTCAGACTGCATCATGAAAGTGCTCGCAGGCAACTTGACTGAGGTGCGGTTCGCGTGGCCCGAAAAGTCTTCGACGGCCGAACGCGACCACGAACACGATTACGACTACGACCAGCAGCTTCAGCCTATGTGTGAGTTAGGACGAACGGTACTGGAAACTGACAGCGTTTGTCACATTAACGGTTAGTGTGGTTTTACCTTATAATTTCATTGTTGCAATACCTGCGTGGCGTAACATACCTAACCTGTTTCGCGGTTCGATACGGTTGTTTCGAACAACCCGTAGTGGTGTCATCCCCAAGGGGAAGGTGGCACCTACACGATCGGCCTGTGCACTCGCCACCCCGTCACTTTGTACGCTGTCTATTGTTAAAATGTGTCTCCTGCGGTCAATTTGTACCATGACAGGTAGTAAAGTCGTTTTGACTAATCCTTCACGAACCCATTGATATTATATTCTTCATTTTATCTCATCGTAATTGTATACGAAATGTAATGATTTCCTTTTTAACACAATGAAACACACGTTTCAGAAATACTCGAAACGAAATTTTCATAGGATGTGACCGACGAGACTTTTTTTTTGTGCAGTTCACTTACTCTAACAATCAGATTACTTATTCGGCGAATGCCGATAAGGTCCTAAATTGTGTACTGATAACCATCTATATAATATAGTTTTTTTTTTAAATTTTGACCACAAAAAAATAATTATAATGCTAACAGGTAGTTAATTTACCATTGCTTTAAATATTATTAAATACTTTTAATACATAGGAATATTTCACAAGTAGAAAATGTTATAGTTAAACTAACTAGAAAACGTCGAACAAATAACTTGTTTACGTAGTTGTCGAATTGAAAAAAATAAAATAGAGGAGCTCAGTCATACAATTTAAAAACTGTGTTCCAAGTGCGCAATTATTTAACACAAACTCCTAGAGGGCTTCATCCCCCAACTACAAACCTTACAAATATTTTGAATACCACTTTTCAGCTACACGAATATTTAAATTCACAATATTAATATCGATAATACCAAATTATCTCTGTATATACCACACATTACCAAGAGCACCTATAAGAAAACTCTCAAGGAGGGGGGGGGGCATTTTAATTTATCAATCTATTCATAAATAGGAATGACCCATGATATAGGAAAGAGTTTACAATTTTACATTATACTATTACATTATATGTATCAAACTGGAAGACTATAAAATAATTATTATTTAACCAATTTACCATAAAAGTAATTTATTGAAATTTTTATTTAATTAATAATATAAATTCGACACTTAAAACATTAGTTATATTTATTAAAATATTAATTTACAAATATTATATAAATATTATGGTTGTACATACACACATATATTACCGTATTTCTGGAGATATACAATATTTTAAGATTTGATAATTATCCATAAAATAGAAACAAAAAAGCGTACTGTTATTTATAGCTGATAACCTGATTTTCCAAATTAAATAAATATATTTTTCATAAATCAATTATAGATTTTCATATATTAAATTAAATTTTTAAGTTCTGTTTAAATAAATATTTTCTGATCATAATAAACAATTTTCCATTATTTTTGACATTTTTCAGGGGGGACATGTCCCTCCCTTGCCCCCTCCAACATGGGCGTACTTGGACAATACTATTTATATTTTTCCTGAAATGAAGATTCCATTGCTTATCATAACTACCATATAATCTTTTATTATGTAAATATATTTTCCCGTGCACCTATATAGGTACTGAGCGTAAATACGATTATATTTACCACACATTCGAATTAATTTTCAGCCAATTATACATACATATATTTGTATATTGCTAAGCGCCGGTCGCCAGGACAACGCGTACTCCGTGTCTGCATAGCACGATTCTATTTACAACCGTGCTGCGTAGTCACTAGTCGACCGAACGTTATTTCGGCTACCATAGGCTAGACACTGATAAGTGATAGTACTAGCGGAGCTCAACGTGTTAATAAACGGAAAAAAATAATATTTTTTGATGTTATTAAACGAGTCCATCGTCTGCTACGTTTTAACAATAAAACCTATGTCCATCTTCGATGTGTTAATCGTAATATTCGTTATAAAATTTACGTAAATTGAAATCCACATTTTAATAAAAATTATTTTGGACATTAGTTAAAGTGAACATTCGTGGCATCCTCTTGTTCCAGTGAAAAAATATAGACGGGGTGCACAAGAAAAAAAAATAGTAGATGAATCCGTTCATCTGCGCACCCCTCCTCCAATTCGAGTACTGTATACGTAAATCAAAGTTTTCTTCTTCCTACCCACTATCATTGAATAATATTATTTATAATAATAATCGATGCAACTGCGTACTAATGTATTTTCTAATGTCCCTGCACAAATGAATGATTTTATAATAAATTTCCATCGAGCGATCAATTCAGCCTTATTTTCCATGGAGTATGAGCACCGTAACTCCTTGCTATAAACGATATTATCAACAATTTTTCCAAGGCTTAAGTTCACAGAAGTTCTTAATTTTAATTTTATCAGTTTGTACTAATAGGTTGTGACTTAAATATTATTTCTGTAATACACAAATAATACCAAATATAGTAATATCTATAAATACAAGTGCATAATATACTTAACAGTTAACATCATCGAATATCATTAAATTCAATATAATCTATTGAAACGTACGTTTTATAAGACGATTTTATATACCTATACATTTTTTCGGTTAAGGTTAAAATCAACAAAACTATTTTTATTCTATACTATGATTTTTAAAATCAATTTGAACAATATAAAAATATAAATAGCATGACTCTAACACTCGAACAACTTGTTTTACGCGTAATGCACATTCACATACCTACATACTTTTACACGTGCGAAAATCATGACAATCAATACACATTAAGTATTTTTTGTTATCGGTTCTAATCGGAATACTCAGCAACAATAATTGCTTAAATAGGCGACAAAAATTATTATTTATTTAATAATAAGGCAATAAAAAAAATGTGTATACTTACAAAATATTAATCCTGTTCTTTTTTCTGGACCGTTATTGATTTACCTATAATTTTTGTAAAAATCTTAACAAATTACGTATATAAAACATCACTAACAATATTAATGTCACAGTTTTACTTCAAATAATTTTTCAAAATCGATTTGGAGATATTTTTAATCTTTAAATTTTCAAATGAAATTCAATAAATTGAATTTTGTTGATCTTCGTAGAATTGTTTGTGAAAACTGGTTTTTTACGTCTTATTAAGCATTATACCATAATATGGTGAACATTATACTATAATATGTTATGGTTTAATGTTAATACTATATCACATATGTAAAGTATAATAACGGTGAACAGCATAAAATATAATTGAATTCATGTAATCCATTAATACCTACGTTTTATAAAACAGTTTTAATGCAGGTAATTAGTATGAATTATAATGTTGGGCAGTAGACAAGAAAACGAAATCTAGGATGAGCTTAGAAGATATGATACTGGTATAAGATATATGTGGAGTGACTTAAATGGAAAGAATAAGAAATTAGTACTAAAAGATAGTTTGGGGTAAATAACAATCGTAAGAAAAATGAAAAAGAATAGATTGAAATGATTCGGAAATGTTACAAAGAGAAATGAGACGGATGTAGTGAGAGGTTTCCTGAAAATAAATGTATAAAGGATCAGAGAAAGAAGAAAATCTAGATAGTATTCGGATGGAATTGAGTATGATAACACGAAAGAAGTCGAATAACAGGTACAAAATATTGCTATCAAAATTGTTTTCGGGAATAGATTAATAAATTATTTTGGTTTAAGCTTAAAATTAACGAAACTTGATTATTTTTATTTTATATTCTGATTCTTAGATTACATTTGAAAAAAGAAGCATTACCCTAAGGCTAACAAATTGTTTTACACATAACACAAATTCACATACATATTTTTACACGTGCCAAAATCATGACGATCAATACGCTTTAAGTATTATTTGTTATCTATTCTGATTGTTATACTCAACAACAATAATCGCTTAAATATGTGACAAAAGTTATAACCTGTTTAATAATAAGAATGAAAAAATATAGAAGTACTAAATTGCGTTGAACTCGGTACTTTGTTTTTCAATTTTGGTGTATAATAATAATTAAACGCTGATTTTTGTAACCATAATCATTTCGATGTTTTTCAATTTAGTATAGTTATTAAATCGTATTACAATATAACACTGGCTTGTGCTTGTAATCAGTCCCTATATTCTATAATTCTATTCTATCGACTTGGTCGGTTAGAAAATCGAAAATAAACTTCGATTTAACACAAATGAGGACGTTAGTTATAGATATTTGTTTCGATAGATCATCACTCATAATTTCATTGGGTAAAAATGTATATTTGAAATTCTGCTAGTTCAACATTCGATCTGAATAATTGTTCATTGTAAACACGAGCATGCAACACTGAGACATAATAATAGTATACAAAGATATGCTATGTTGTACAGTTTTATTGGAATTTGATCGACTGCCTCATGTTTTCTAGATTCGATGGGATTACATCGCGTGGAAAATGACAGTCATACTGACAAGGCCGTAAGTTTACACTTGTATTGTCCGCCGTTCGAAGAGTGCTCCACGTTCAACCAGCAAACGGGTCACGAGATGAAAGCCAAATCAACGTTTTGGTCAATTTATGGCGAAAAGGTTTCTAAGGTATAACATACAAAATACTGTTCATGAATAACCGTGTATATTATATTACGCCTTACATATATATGTAATATTTTAACAAAAAGTATACGTATGTGTATTCCATCATAAATTCTGGACAGTTCAAGACATTTGTCTTTGCTGGGACAAAACCGAGCATCAATTTTGTACAAAAGGGCAAAGCTATTGATAAAATACGCATTTTTATTTAATATGCCTGCGTACACTTCATAGCAGTTAAACGATGAATTTAAAATAAGTTTAAAGGTTCTTTGAAATTCAATATTGCCTGATAATGCCTCGCTGTGTTAAAAAAAATATATTTATTTTTATTTTTTTAATACTTATATAGTAAATTAATATAATCAACTATGAAATAAGATAAATAAAGAAATTCAATGCATCTATTTATAAATATAAACGGATCAAGTATTTCCGTTTGTAATTGTAAGGTTTGTTTATATTAAGCAATACTAGTCAATTAAATTTTTTTTATAGTTTAATAGAATTAAAAACAAAAAGAAATAAAACTATATTTTCACCATAAACAAACCATAAGAATTATCAACAAACATTGACACCCTGTAGTCATTAATTTCAAATTATTTCGAAAACTTATTACACACGAGATGTAGAACATGCAGTGCTGTAAAGTATAAAAGTTTTGATTACTAGTGTTAAAATAATTTTTATAATATCAAATACTTTTTAAATTAAACTAGTTAAGCAATTCATTTTTAAAATCAAAACAATTTTATTTTATCCTCATCTTTATAATCATATATTCTCAAGCGTTGTTATCTACTCTTCTAGTCGCTCATATTTTACTTTTATGAGTCTTGACTCTATCTTACTAGTCTTAAATCGTTTAAAAACATCATACTCCATGTTACGAGTACATTTCCTCATATATAGATTCGTCATCTCGTTTAAAATTATGGTCTTGAAAAAAATATGAATTATATTGGAAGATGATATAGACCAAAGAATTGAATGACTTTATTTTAGTCATAAATAAGATTAAAAGATATATTATACGAACAAATGTGAGAAATTGAGACCAACAGTATTGTAAAATGTAAAACTTCTACGAATATAGAATTTTTTTTTCTCACATATAAGATATTAAATATATACAGCGTATTAACTTCTAATGAAGTCGATACCTTAAAGAGCATTTAATTTTTTAGGCAATTATAACTGCAAACATTTTTATATTTTTTATACAAGTGTACATTGTAATTTATTGATTAGGTATATATTAATACGGTTTTTAATACTATTGTTTTTTTTTCAGAAACGGGTGTTGGAAGAACATATGCCAGATGATAACTAAATGTGAACAGTGAAGTCATACGAGTATACGTGTTTTGCCTTAGTAAAATTACTATTAAACGATAAATATTTTGTTATACTTAATTATCCTATATTTTAATATATTTTACTAAACTGAAATAAATTTGTTTCTTAATTATATTATAATACATTAAGTACGTATAATTAATATTTAATAATTGTAAGTACTATATTATAATGATAATAATACTCTATATTTAGATTTTTAATCAAACAAGAAATTACGGTGTGTTTTTTTTTTATGTCTATGTACATTCTTTTGACCAGGATTGCTTTGAACTTCAAAATTTTAAAAAATTTCTGACAAGAAATGCTGTCTAGTTGGTACTTTAAGAGGGTAATTGTACGAATTTCCTTTTAGTTTTGTTATTGAATCTTAATCATTGAAATGTTATGTTAGAACTAAATTAATCTAAAATGCACGCTAAAGCAAATAACTTCAAGTCACCTAGATATGAATTTCGTATAGTGGGTAAACGGAACCGTAGCCAATGGTTATTAGAATTATTATTTTAAAAAATTAAATTATATTTTTATTTAAAATTATTCATATTAAAATTATTTCTATAAATTCTATATATCTTTTAATTCTATAAATTTTATTTTTTATTTTGGTGGTTGGGGCTACGGGGTTTCGTCGATGATTAAAACAAGTACAGATGGTGGTTCCAGCTTCAGTTTCTAATTCAGAAATCGACATTTTAATCCTACTCAAGCCGAGGCTCACGTATTATTTTGAAACTCTTTATTTTTAATCATTATTATAATAATAAACTGTGTAGGAATTCATAATAATCTTTACTAAAAAATTTATATTTTATTTAATATAGCATATATAATATAATCTTTGAACTTATTTGCATATTAGTATTATAAGACTGATAAGCACATATTGTATTTGTTATTTAAAAAATTATAAAATCTTATAAAATCCATTCCGAAAAATAAAATAACTGCTCGTGAAGTTTAAAGTTTATTGTTGATGTTGATAAAAAATTAATACCTACTAATTTTAAATAACTATTCAATAAAGCATTTTGTGCACTTATTCAGAATTACAACTGTTCAATAGATGACTATTCGGGTTTTGTTGGTTTATTTTCTGATTTTCGTTAGTCGGATTAATGTCTAACAATTGACAAATAACAGTGGGATTTGATGTTACGTCGTTAACGGGATTAGGTTGTCTTGGAGCAGGACTAGATGATTCAAAAAGTCTTAATCTCGGACAACATTGTAGGTTAAACATTTTTAAAACACGTTTTCTGCAAACGAAGATTACAAAAATGAGCACTCCTTGCAATGCATTCCCAACATCCGTGATGAACCATACACTTTGCAGCTTATCTGGAAATTTCCAAGATATAATTTCTGCTGTCCAATTCAGTCCCATCACAGTAAATAATTCCAAGCACAAAATCATTCTGTAATATTTCAAAATTAAAAATAGAGTTCGAAAACAATTTTTAATTAAATAGTTAATAAGTATATTAGTATATAGTTTAAATTTAACAATAATACTAAGTTCATTATTAAATTCTTATCCAACATTTTTGTTCAACACGTTTTTTAACTTCCAAAACTAATGACGTTTCATCCACGTACATTTTATACAGAGATTGTTATTATATTTATTTTATAATTAATGTTCATTATAGGTAGGTACATACTTCTTTTTATAATTAGTAAGATTTCTATAGGATTCTGGTCTCTTCCCCATGTACAATGCAATGTGTAATGCAATATGTATGAATACTAATGCATTAACAAATAAAATAACACCAATCGGTCCGTAGAAATACATATCCACCGCTTTCTCTGCTAAATATAAATATTTTGATTAAATTATTTTTACTGCCTGAATAATAATAGTTGTCATACATTTCAAAATTCTTAAAAAATAATTTTTAATTAGATAATAATACTAAAAGTCTTTAATCATACAAAATTAATAGTGCAAGTTGAATAGACGTCGTTCAGATAAATCCACGCGTTAATAATTTAATAAATAATTTTTGAAACTTGAGGGTAATTTTGTTCCTACATTACTAGGATCAGTGTTAGGCAAATCGTAATATGATTAATGACTAAAGATTACAATTACAAATTTTAGTTCTTAATCATAAGATAAATTAATGTAATCAATAATCACAATAGTTTTATTTTAAAGTGGACATTAATGAGAGAAAAAAGTCTCAAAAATGTATATAAATTTCATTCAAGATATTTATGAAGGATCAAGGACTGTTATCAAGAGTGTTTATGTGGTTGTAACAGAAGATTTTAATGTAGGAGTAAAAGTAATACAGCTTAATATATCATAGTGTATGATGTTTGCTGATGATATAGTTTTGGTAGAAGAAAATCTGGAAGAAGTTAATAATAGGTTGGATGAGTGGAGATTACCCCTTTAAGGAAAGGGATTTAGAATTAGTAGGAATTATAAGTAATAAAAATAATAATAATATTTACAAATGATTCTAATGATCCTATACAAATATTATTATTAAAAATGATTCTGTAATCCTTATCCTTATATATATATATATATATATATATATATAAAATAACAGGACTTTTTTGTGTTCTAATTTTTTATGACATTATTTAACATTTTTCTGATTTTCGTTTTTGCAGGGTTGTGCTAAATACTCGCTTGCATGTCACCACGTCCCCTGATTTTTATTTTTTTTGGTTTTGGAAGGAGAATGATTGTATTATTCCGATTTTATGGCGACATTATTCAACATTTTTCCAATTCCCTCTCTCCTTCCCCTCCGACAGATAATATAAAAAATCGGGCGATGTGGTAACACTCAAAAAAGTATTTGGAATAACTCTATGAAAAAAAGAGTTAGAAAAATGTTAAATGGTGTAGTCACAGAATTGGAACGTAAAAAAGGCCTGTTTTTTATATATATATATATATATAAAGATAATCTAATACAAGATTGTAGTTATGCGATATTTTTGGCGTTAATGATTAGACAAGTGTATAATTACTTATTACTTTAAAAAATGATTAAACGAATAATTATAGAATTTAATCGTAAATTAATCGATTACGCTTATAGGCGTGCGCAGACTTCAACTTCCGATCGAGCCTGGATACACTTAGTGCCTTAATTTTTAGACAGTGCTCCTAATTTTTTCTAATACTTCAATATAGTAGATTCTGTTGTAAATTAAAAACAATGTAGTATTTATATCTATACACAGAATCAAGTATTATATTGCTAATTTTTAGACATATATTTTTGAAGTTAAAAGTAAAACTTTAAATTCTTTAAAATCAAATAATATAAATACAATTTATTGATTTCCACGAATATATTAAAATATATATAGATATTTTAGTATGGATACTTTAAATTTTACTATACCCCAAACAAATTCTAGTCGAGCTGGGTCTCGCCCGGCTCGCCTCGTGCGCACGCCTATGATTACGCCCAACACTGACCAGGACCAATTGAATAGATAAGAAAGGTTTAGTCGAGAATTTACAATATAGTGTACTGATGTATGAAGTGCTACAGTAAAATAAAAAACGTATAATAAATATTCAAGAGAATTTGATAAAAATAAATTATTCTGACAAATCTATAACGCAAAAGTATTATGATTGGTAAGAAATAGCCAAGAAACAGGTAAATGTAATGTAATAAACACCATGGAAATATTCTATCATTATAATATTTAATATAAAAATTATATTTGATTGAATAAAGTAAAAAAAATTTCATTCGAAAAACGTTTCTAAACGAAATATTTTTGAATTTTATACGAAAATGTCAACATTTATAATTATCAATTTTATTCCTAACTAAAATGTAATGATTCACAAAACCAATTATATATGCTGGAATTTATACTTTAAGCCAGGGGTCTTCAACCTTTTTATGCTGCGGGCCACATATTATTTTTTTTAAACATTGCGGGCATTCGTATGTAAAAACATGTATTTTATAAAAAAATTCAGTTTTATTCTTACAATTTTAAAATTAATTGGATATATTTAAAATTACAAATTATTATTATTAAAACATAAATAGATGAACATTATTTTTTAATTACAATTTTTTTTACTTTATTTTTAACGTGAAAATATTTAAAATGTGATCGCGGACCGCATATTATGGCAAGGCGGGCCGCGGGTTGAAGACCTCTGCTTTAAGCTTACAGGCCTGTGAAACACCAAAATAAGCGCTATAAATAGTACTAAAAATTACAAAATAAGCAGAATAAAATTGTCATTCTGTTCTGAACAATTTCCTGATAACACAAATATGTAAAACAATTTAAGTAGTAATACTTAACGATAACATCGTGTCCCACTGTCTCACGTAATACGACAAATCCTATAATGAATTGCACTACATACGATGATTACGATGTAATTGACAAGATATTTAAAAATAATCAAACTATTGGAAAACGAATAAATTGCATTTTTCTTATCCGATTAATAACCAATAATTCCAATCCAATTATTATCTGAAAAATCTGTGAGGTGATTATTTATCAGATATGGCTATATAGGACACACCCATAAACATGCCTCTTGAAAAAAATATTTTTAAATGAGTTTTGAACTGCAATTAAAATACGTGATTTTATTATTAAGCTCGTGATTGAATTTTACAAATAATATTTTAAAAGTTTAAAATGGTTGTAAAAAGTTTTTTTATAAAACCCCCAATGATTCTATTTAGCTCATAAATATTTAACATCACATTGCTACTTTTCTCAATTACGCTAACCTAAATAATCAAAATAAATTTGAATATTCTAGAATATTCAAAGCTGTAAAATATTGTTAATATTCTATCATATTTTATTTGACTGTACAAAAAAATTGAATATTTTATTAACATTAAACAAATAACTGCTATTAATGTTAATTCTCACAATCACTAATTCCACAATTGAACCCTCCAATTTTAGGAGTAGGTAAAAATGTCATCAATTTAGGCCATTTATCTGCTACATATGTAACTATTGAAATTAAACTGGAACATCCCCATGCATATAGGCAGTATATTTTTATCATTTTTGGTTCATTTTTTAATTTTTTGCCGTACCTGTTGAAAATACATATAATTATTTTAAACATTTGAAGAACACACTTATTTAATAAATAACACTACTTTAACTCTAATAAGTTACAGTGCAATAAAAATACTAAAATTCTAAACAATTTGCCCAGGCTCATTAAAAATATTATTTTGTTTCCTTTTTTTCCACGAAAATATAACTATAAATAATATTTGTAATACATGCACTAATATTTATTTATAAATAAATTAATCAAATTTAAGGCATAATCTTTTACTAATTGACTTATAAAACAGATAAAAATAGTTAGAATTGTCACTGTTTTATCCTTTTATATTTTTCAACAATATCCAAATAAACAAATAACAAGCATTACAAACCTTTTTTTTAAATATTATATAGTGTAAAATGTTTTATTTTAACCTGTGTATTTGCGTAAAAAAAATGTTAAAATTGTAAATCTGATCTTTAATAAGTTTTGTAATGTTTAACCAACATTAATCTTTTACGAAGAGCAAAAGTATTCAGTACTTAAATTATTTTATGTACCAAAGTTAATTGTTTGTACCTACCTAAAAATATACCATAAATCAAAACACATTAAATTTAACCAGAAAAAACTTGCTAAAGTAAAGAATTGAGTAATGTAAGCTGAAACAAAAAATAATTTTATTTAATTTCACATAGCTTAAAGCTAAAAGTAATTTTAACATTTCATAGAATTTCTTAATCACATATTACTAAAATTCATATCAATGTATAAAATAGTTTATTTTATTGTTGAACTTTATAGTGATATATACATAATATATTGTATATCTTTAAATAAATTGTATAAAGTAATTTTTTCTGATTCACATAAGTGTTAACTATAGTTCATATAAAAAAAGTAGTTTTATCCATTAATTAATTTCCTTAAATAGATGTATAATAATCATCATTACATAATCACTAGGAAATATTGGTATTTTGATAGTATTCGTAATGTTAATGTTTAACATCATGTCCAATCTAAATTTCAGGTTAAATAATATTTTTGACCAGATACACTCAATACATAATAATGTTTAAAGATATAGTTTAATTTCTGTAAAAAGTGTGATGGAAGTCTTAGGAAATCGATATATTCAAAAATATATTTTATCGTTAAAATGTTTTTTATTTAGGAATTCCGTTAGTTAATATTATAATTTGTTTATAACATACTCTTACAACATTATTAACATCGAAATCTCTTGTGAATTCTGAAAAAATACATTTATAGTTACTTGCCTATAATAACGCAAACTTTGTCATCAATTCCTATGGTTTTCAGTTTGCCAATTATTATGCTGATGTAAGCTATTAAAAGTGATAATACATGACCTATGATACATTTTCCATGCAGATCTCGTAATTTCTTGGTAAATGCATACACGAGTAACGTCATAAACAAAAATGGTATTGATATTATCAATGCACCATTAATAATTGGTTTTAAACCATTACTCGAATTGTTGTTATTAGGTGAACACACAATGGCTACATACTGAAAACCTGAGTCAAACTGCATTAATTCGAAACAAAAATGGTCATATGTATCAATATTTGCCTCTTGCAATAACTGCCCGTTTAGGGATATTTCGAAACTATCATCATTTTCATGATATGGAAATAAAGAATACATTTGATCGCATTGTGGCATTTGATAAAGCATGTGGAATTGGTTTATATCATGTGCTTCGGACGCTTCAGCTGTCTTGTTTCCAATTATTCCTTTAGGTACCTAAAACACGAGTACTTATTAATTTAAGAAATATTTTATTTTTATAGAAGTTAAAAATAATTATTATAACTTATGTAGTATGAATAATTATTTATGATGATAATTGTAAATACACGTTTTCATAAGATATGTGATGTGCTTTGTTATAATAACGTTAATAATAACATTATATTGGAAATTAGATGTGGTTTTTTTTAATCGCGGCATTAGCATCAATACTAAGTGCAATGTTTCTAAACGTGGGTGATGAAGAAGTTCTGAGGAGCGGTGAACTTGTTATGGGTGGTAGAGAGGCGCTGATCAAATCTAGGGTGGTAGAGTGGTTTTAATCTCAAAAAATAATATATATACATTAAAACTAAAGAAAAATAAAAACTGAAATACAGCTACACAGCTATTATACTGAGCTTCACGCCATGACTTATAGGTAATTTTTTTCAAACAATGTAGTTTCTTCCAGGCATGTATACAGGGGGGTCCCCCCCCGAAATAATTTCTTTGAAAATTAAGTCAAATTATACACCTATTATTATAAAATATTTTTATTACTTGCTGTTGAATGTTTTCTTTGTTTATTAGTCGGGTATGAAATACAAGTTTATATATTATATTATGGTTGAATGATTGAGGTGATTATTATTATTATTATTGCTTATGACGTAATTTCGGCTAATAGCATATAAGTATATAAATAGGTAACTAAAAGTAAAAGTATATGGAATAAATGAAATAGATTAATAACACAATAACATAGGTAAAATTAGGTAAAATTAGGTAAAAATAGAAATGAATGAGTAATTGCACAAGTTTAGAAAATTAATAAATACAAGATGAGACAATGAACAAGGTGGTCGAACTACGATTACTGGATGTGACAGTGACGAGTTCAGTATATCTTGATCTAAAGGCGCAATTTTAAGTTTTTCATCCAGGTGATCGCTTCTGGTTCTGCCCTGTGGAGTTTTTCGATGCCTCCCTCGAACCTAGTTCTTGAGCACGTGTCCACGATGTGGCGTACAGTCTGTTCCTCACCGCATTCACAGAACGGTGACTCTGACATACCCCATCTATGTAAATTGTAGCCACATTTGCCCTGTTCGGTTCTAACTCGGTTTAACGTTGACCAGAGTTCTCTTGATAGGTCATAGCCGGTTAGATTAGGTTAAATATTGATACTCAATATTGATCAAATGATATTTGAGGTGATTACTGAGAAATACGCACATGTGAGAACCGTATCATTACGATATATATAATGTACCTAGTAAACTCACATTTTGTCAATAATCTTATTTTCCGTACTCGATCGGTCACCAAAAATTCCTATTCAAATGATATCTATGATAAACGATCGTTCAGTTTTAGTCTGTGTTCGGTATTTGAACAGTTATAATCTGTGAGTACAATAGTGTGATGGTTATTTTTGAGAGTTGTATTTTATGAAAAGTGATTAAATAACTAAATTTATTAATTATTACACATTTGACTTATTTTTTTTTTTTATAATGAAAAGAAATAGTGATCAACCATCATTATTCAATTTTGGTGTAAAAAAAATTAAAAACAACGAAGAAACTGAAAGTAAATCGAGTTATATTTAAAATATCGCAACCGAAGTTGATGTAACGAAGTTGATGCTTTGCAGACCCAACTTGATACAAATATAGACAATGAATTGTTAAAAAATTATTCTCAAGATATTGGATTATTTTTATCAACTTCTAATAATATAAATGATGCAAAAAAATATGATTTATTAAAAAATACATGGATACCACCCAAAAATTACCAATTCCCCATTGAAGAACAAAGGCTGCTGAAATTTTAAATAAATTGGTTAAATCGTTTTCCTTAGATTGTTTACTCCCAAAAAGTGCAAGGTGCCTTGTGTAAATACTGTGTAATATTTGCCAATAACACTGTTGGTGAAGGGACCCATAAAAAATTAGGTGCTTTGATTATAAAACCTTTTACAAAATGGAAGGATGCCATTAAATGTTTTAATCACCATTCAACACCTGAATATCATAAGCTTTCAATCATTTGCTCTGAAGAATTTATTAAAGTAATGGAAAACAAAAAAAGTAATATTGCAAATGAGATAGATACTTCACGAAAAAAACAGGTTATTGAAAATCGAGCCATTCTTCGTCCAATAATTCAAACAATAATTTTATGTGGAAAACAAAATATTGCTTTAAGGGGTAATAATGACAGTGGAAAAATATATGATGAAAATATAGAAACAAATGACGGGAATTTTAAATCTTTATTAAGATTTAAATCATTGGCTGATTTTATTTTAGACAAACATTTAAAAAACGCTACTTCTTTTGTATCTTATACGAGTCCTAATGTTCAAAATGAAATCGTTACTATTTGTGGTAATTTAATACAAGGAAATATATTAAAAAATATCAGATATGCAAAATATTTTTCTATTTTAGTAGACGAAACACAAGACGTATCTTGATTAGAACAAATATCTTTTTGTGTCCAATATGTTGACGGTATGTGAAACTGTATTATGGAAGATTTTCTTGAATTTTCAATTGTTCACAATATGTAAAGGATTATCTAATTCTATACTTCAGTTGCTAGAGAAATTCGGACTTGAAAAAAGTTTCTTGTAGGAAAAGGTTATGATGGCGCGGCATCATTGAGTGGGCAATTCATAGGCGTTCAGCAATATATCACAAGTAAAATATAATTTATATCAGTGGTTCTCAATCTTTTTAGGACCGCGACCCAAATTTTCTTCCAAAAATCTATCACGACCATAGTTTTACATTTACAGAATCAATAAAAATAATTTCAAAAAACAAATTTTTTCTATTTTATTACTTATTTACTACTTTATAATAATAATAATAATAATAATAATAATTACAATAATATATTTATAATAATAATAATATAATATAATATAATATATATAATATAATATAATACTTAATTAATAATTAGGCATATGTGATGAATGTGCTTGTTTCTTACAATCTGTATAATTAAAAAAACTTCTAGCGACCCCCCAAAAATTTACTCGCGACCCATAGTTTGAGAAACGCTGATTTATATCATATTATTTTTAAGTTCTGTATATTTTCTTCTTTTTTTATTGTATAAGAAGCAATTAATTTAAAGAGTGACCTTTTTTACAATTTTTAAATTTTAAATTAAATGAATATAGTATGTATTTATAAACACTAAATAACATATATAGTTTTCTAATTTTTTTTTTTATATTTTAGAGGCTGTCCCACATGCGCTTTATGTACATTGTGCTTCTCATTCTTTTGAATTTGGCTGAGGAAGTTCATGTTAAATCGTATCTTTTAAACTGTATTGGAACTGTATCTTTAATAATAACATTTTTCCGAGCTTCATCACAAAGAACAAAAACACTGACTGAATGTATTAATGAATATATCCCACAAAGTCGAAAAAAAAACTTTAATAAAAATGTGTGAAACGCAATGCGTGGATCGACATGAAAGTTTAATTCGATTTAAAGAATTATATAAAGCTATTTATTATGCTTTAAAAAAATTAGAAGAGTGTTAAAATATAGAAACATCACGTACAGCTTTTCAGCTTTCAAATTCTATTAATAACTCAGTTTCTATCATAGCTTTACATATGATTGAGAAGCTTTTTTCTTTAATTTACCATTATCTATAGCACTACAAAAAGTTAATATTGATTTGTCATATTGTTATGAGCGAGTAACAGATGTTTGTCAAATATTTAAAGAAATACGAAAAAATGCCGATGATGAGTTTAAACAAATATTTTCTAATTCAAAAGATTGAAGGAATTGGAAGGAATTATTGCGGTACCAAGAACTGTAGGTCTGCAAACTGCACGTAACAATATTTCAGCCCATTCTCCGGAACAATATTATAAAAGATCAATATTTTTACCTTTTATCGATCATTTTATTTGTCAATTGCAAGATAAATTTATTAATCATCATCATGTTATGACTAAATTACAATCACTTATTCCAAATTTTCTTAAAAATACAACTGATGTAAAATATTTTCAAGAGATTGTGCTTTTTTATAAAGATATTTTACCTAATTATGAAACATTTGACGCGAAAATTAAAATATGGCTAGTTAAATGGAAAAATGTATCAGAGAGAGACCGTCCAGCTACATCGTTGACTACTTTATCTGCAATTTCTTATAATTTTTTCCCAAACATTCATAGTCTTTTGATTATTTTGGCCACATTACCTGTTACAACTGCTACTACTGAACGGTCATTTTCAACTCTACGAAGATTTAAAACATACTTACGAAACAATATGGGAGAAATTAGACTTACTGGATTGGCCCTACTAAACAAATAACGAAATTTTGATTTAAATTTAAAAAAATGTCGATAGATTTGCTAGATTACCACGAAAATGAGATTTTTTACTTAAGTTATTAATTTTTTAATATAAACTTTATAAATTATTTGATTTTTTTTTCTTCTATCTACATAATAGTATAATATACCTATGTAATTTTATGTGCATAATAATCAAATAAATATCTGTTCGATTCATAACACATGCTATTATTTTAAGTTTTATTTATTATTATTATTATTATTATTATTATTTCTTAATACATACTTCTGAACAAATGACGCATAAAATTTGGATATTTAGCATAATAGTTGTCACATTAAAAAATAATGAGTAAGGAAGGATAAATTGTTTTATTATATTGCTGTACAGTTTGTATTGCTATATTTTATACCCCCCCCCCCCGAAGTTTTATTTTTTGTACGTGCCTGGTTTCATCTTTTTATCTATAAAATAATATAATATAATGTAATATAATTTGAATACCTATTAGCAGGGGTGGATTGGCCTATCGGGAAATCAGGAATCTTCCAGATTGACCGGTCCTTTTTGGGCCGCTCTATATTATTATATAATTACCAAAAAATAGTTTTATTTTATAAAATAAATAAAAATCATTAAAAAAATAAATATATATTTAAAGATGCATTAAGATCAAAATTCAAGTTCAAGTTGGAACTGATTATATATGTGACTTACCCAAAACTATTATTGCTATAATTATAGTAAAGTTATTGTAAATTTTACTAATTTAGGAGTGAAACTAAACAATTTTTGAAATTTATGCAAAACATTTTTGGGAGGGGGGAGGGGTAAAATAGTTTAATTTGTGGTTCATGGGTCGGTTTGTTTCATATTTCCTGGGCCAAAAATAATTGCAAATCCGCCCCTGCCTATTAGCCAGGTCAACATGCATTTGATTATCTGTGATTATTTTGTATATTGTTGAATTTTATTATTATTATTATTATTCTGTATATTGTTTTCAAGCTCAGCATATTTTTTATTTTTTTTTTTTAATGGTGGTTGAAAAATATTTTGCTTTTAAAGGGCATAGCAGTTTAAAAAAAAAACCACTTTACCATTGTAATTACTAGTGTAATTAATGTGAACAGTTCCTATGCCAATTTTTGACGTACGCGAAAGTTAGGTTACTCGAAGAGGTCTCAAAACATTGACGCGAGCAGTTAATGCAAATTGTTTATTTTTCATTTTGTGTCAATATACCACATAATTTCAAGTTTCATTTTCTCCAAAAGAAGACTTTTTTTCTAGTCGTTTTGACGATAGAAAGAAAATAAAACTGTTAGTAGAGTTTTAATAAACAATTTATTATTTATAATGGTGAAAATGAGAAGAAAAAATAGTTTGGTAAACATAAAAGTCTGAATATTAAAATGTTTACATCTATCACTGATTAACATAAATATTTAGTTGATACACTCCTACTCATATACGAGTATATTACTATTACGTATGCATAACGCATGAATGTGAAATGAGCGTATAATGAATGCATGATGATCGATGGAAAGTCAAATATCAATTGTTGTAAATCAGAACTATTAAGAATTCTACAATGTTAGCCACGCATATAGAAGACATGATAATGACCATTGTAAACCTAAACTATCTAAACAAAATTATTGATGTTATGACGTGTTATGATTATTAAAATGATAAAATGTTTAATAAGCCGCGTCTACACTAGTAAAAATTTACGTTGTGTCAAATGTATTCACCTTAAATAATAACGCTAAAAATGTTTTTAAAAAAAAATTCATGTTTATAATTTATAAATAAATATTATCGTTATGTGCTGTGTGTCCGTGATTAACAGTAATTCGCCAGTCATACTGGTTTCTGCTTTGGTAGAGATCCCATTGCGCAATGTCATATTCCGTAGATACTCAAGCGATGTTCCATAGGAACATGTAACATCACATTTTAAGTTGTATTAACACGGTTGAAATATGTATGTGATTGCTAATGCTCATAATCGCTGTCATTCAGGCAATATGGTAGAGATGTTTTAAAATAACATCAAAGTAATATTACCAAAAATAACATGAGAAGGAATGTAATTTCAAAGCGATATTACTACAACATTGTAATATGATATTTAAAGAGCTAAATCTACTATAAAATTAAATAAAAAGAAAACTTTTATCGCACTAATGTAGTCTGTCGCCGGGATTCGATCTTACCTACCTAATGTGTCCTAACGTATTAATGGGGGACGCCTAATCTACTTAACTACTACTAACTATTTACTAGAAAACGAGAAAATAGGCATTTGAAATACCTGATATATTAATTATTATATTCAATGTTGTTTAATATAGGTACATTTATTTTTGTATTAAAGATAAATCGTTATTCAATAATAGGTAATATCGAAAAAATAGGTTGTTGAGGAATAAATAATAACTTAATTATATAATTTATAATTTTTATTGACCACAAACACGTATTAATTTGTAGTACTGTAGTCTGTAATAGTAAAACAAAGCACATTTTTACAATTTTTCGTTCTAGATTTAAAACTTTATTTTGTACATATTTTCAAATATAATATAATATAATAGTTTTATACATCTTTTAAAATATTTTTAAAAAATGAATGTTGTCAATCTAATTACAAAAGCTTTACTTAAATTAATAGAAATAAGGTAACATTTATTTTTTATATCGCTCATGTTTATAAAAAAACATTCTGAAAGATTCAAATTATGAACTATGTATGAACCTACAATTAAAGAATCAAGAGGGGTAAAATAAAATGGTGAACAGTTTGAAAATTATTGCATTATTATATAATATTATAATTGTCAATTTTTTTATAGTTTTGATGAATCAATACAAATAAACCACTTGCTCTTAGTTCTACTGGTCATATTTATTTATATACATTTAAAAGCAGTAATAAATCATATTTAAATTGTATTTAAATTAATTGTATGATTCTGTGCGAATGCCAACGTAAATAGGTATGTACTCAGTTTCGGTTTAGCTCATGATTGGGCCTCTGGAAAAAAAATTTACAATAAGTCCATAAACAACATAATATTGGAGTGAGATTCAATAAATACCTACTTAAAACATTTTTTTATCAATACGCTCGAACTCTACAACAAATATTAATTTATTTTTGTTTTTATATTTTTCCAAAGTCAATATTATTGAATTATCATTGTGTTCGTGTATGTGACCGTTAATAATACAATGATAATTCGATAATATTGTTACATAAAAGATTATTGTTCAAAGTATTTATATTTGTTCGATTTTGATCAAAAGAACAAAAATGTATAAAAGTATAGTGGTTATAACTAGTTCTACTAAATCGCGTTAACAATATTTCATGATTAAGATAAGAATAATATAATTTTAATTTAATTCTGTAAGATTATTACTATAATTTTTCATGTTAGCGTGGTTGCTTTAGTCCGGAGGTGGATTTCGGAGTGGTTCAGGAGTTCAGCTGATCCACAATTAATATTTGTTAAATGATATTATAAATATATATAGGTAATGATATGTATTTGTTATTTGACAAAATTGGCCTCTTTTTTTAAGTGTGTTGACTATAAATTGAAGTTAAAACTAAACTGACAAATTCAGTTTCGACCCTCCCCCCAAATGATACTGCTGGTTTGATTATATAGAATTATATAGTAAAATAAAATATCTTTATGCCAGATCTCATGACGGATTCCATAAAATAAGATAAATGTTTACAATTATAATTATGAATAAACTAAAAAAACAAATATTATATGATCATATTGTTTTTTTTGTTTCGAGGAATACATTTATAATCCACTTTCAGTTCTAAAAAATGGCCTCTTGAAATAGGCTGATCCACAGTTCTCTAACTATTTTTTTCTTCACATTTTCACCATTATAATAAATTGATTATTTAAACTCTACTAACAGTTTTATTTTCTTTCTATCGTCAAAACGACAACATAAATAAAATATATATCACTTAGTATAAGACCTCTGCAACGCGTAGTGTTACCCAATTAACATGAAACCAAAAACACCTAGCTATAACTTAAATTGGATCGAAGAACCTTTTTTTGTATGATCTTAGAAAATAATTTATTTTGAAAATAATTTTAATTTTACATACTTTTTTGTAATATATGTTTTTATTATAATATATATTATTATGAAACTGTTGATCTTGTTAAATCCGCAACATATCGTTGCCGAATATATATATATATATATATATAGCTCCACCACGCGACTGGCTGAAGTAATGATGACAATTGGATGATGTTAAGCCCTCATTATTATGTACTACCAATATGCGTACTGTTAACACACAGGACCATAAGCGCCGCAAGGGGGTGCAAGAGGGAGTACTCAACATTCCTGGCTTAAAAAAAAAAAAAGAATAACATTTTGAAAATGTAGGATAGAGGCTAGTATTATCATTAACGGATTTCCTAGTAGCTCGCATTTTGGGTGTACGCAAACCTGTGATTCAGGGGTGCCTTCAATACTTTTGGGCCCTATCTTAACAAAACGTATAGGTATATTTAATAGATTATAATGTATAAATTATTAAATAAACATAACATTTAATATTGTCGTGTATTAGTACCAATGAATATGTTTTCTTTGAATCTCGGATATTTTTCTCAAATAGCTTCGATTACTTATGGTTTGTACTTTGGTAGTCAACTATAGCTGTTATATTATCATAATTAGTTTTTGGACGAAAATTTAGAAAATTGAATCTTATTTTTGCTACACCAAATGTTATTCATTTTTTACCAAATATTTTTGAATAGGTAAATTACATTTAACCTGATCAACATCGGTCAAAATACGTGCCGCTTACTCTTAGACGTAAACCGTAGGGCCCCGTTTACAACACAACTCTGAGAAGATATGCCTACGCACTTAATTTAAATAGTTAAAGCGTTATTTAGAGATCAACGTGTTCACGTTTATGCACGATGCGCCCTGCCTCCCTCCCACCCCTGGACGAGTTTCACCGCGACAAGGTGCGCGCGTAATACCCTGATATCTCCACGGAGTTCGTCGAAAGGCGTGCACTTATTCTCGATGAACGCCTCGCCCGGCTCGCAGCACTTGACCAGGCACTGCTTCAGTTCGCACGTGCACAACCGGTATCCGTCGCCATCCGTCGTCGCCCGGTACTGGAACGGCTCGTACGTCCGTTCCGGTTGCCCGGCGTGCAGCAGGCCGTCTTCAACGCGAGCGCCTTCCGGTGCTGGTTGGCTCAGGTTCATCGGGCACTTATCGTCCGTGGCCGCGAAGGACAGCCCCAGCAACAGTAGCAACGCCGTTGGCCACGCGAACGCTGTTCTGCGACACATCGTCGGCAACTATGCCGCGCGCGGACGACACGACGTACTCAAAAATATGCCCGCGGGTGCCTTGATGCTTCGATCGATGTTCGATCGGTGACGTGGGCTACGGTGCGCGGATGTGGATCTGTGAACCAGTCGATCATTTATTTGCGATTTTTAGGCAGAAAAAGCATGTTGTTGCACGGGACGAAATGCATTCGATTACGACTCTTTTTTTCTTTCTTTTAAAAGACGAGAACACTATCTATGATGTACCGTTTTCGTTTTTTCGACAACTTATTTCAATCGTTCTTTACGGATCAACTAGACTCTAGTCATCAGTACACGATTTCAAGTATTCCCATATAATTAACGTTCGAAAATATAAAAACGTGTACTTGAAAACTCCGTGTGTGTACATGTAATTATTCACGTGTATACGTATATTCACGTATTTTAGTCGTATTATTTTCATTTTCGCGTTTTCAATCGAGACCTTCGAGTATAAGCACAAAACACTTATAATTTTACAATTTGTTACGTAAATAAATTTAAATCCATTTTTATTAGCGAAAAAAATATAGGTAAACACGCTACATCACAGATAATTTTCTTCGCGTAAAACAAAACAAAAAAGTATATATATAACATATATAACAGTCCGTCGTACCAGACATGATCGAATGCCTGCGCGATATCTAGGAATACACCTATATAATGTTCTTTTTTTTTTAATGAAAACAATATTTTTTTGGTGATTCTATGAATTTGGTGAACTATTGAATGATATGATCGGAATCCAAATAGATTAATTGAAATTATATTTTTTTCATTGATAATAGGGGTTATTCATATAAGAAGTAATTTTTCGAAACGTTACACTAAGGCTAAACACACACGGGCCATTTTAAAACCACACCACAACCACAAAACGGTGGTCGTTCGTGGGTGATATATTAATTACGTGTAAGTTAATATGAAAAACACAGTCGAACACAGACGGACCACTTTCGGACCACTTTCCGACGGCAGTCTCATCGTGTCGCATGTATCACCCAAAAAATAGTGGTCCGTCGGTGGTTGAGCGTAACACACTTGTTACGACACATCAACCACTTTCCGACCACTTGTCACCTGCACTAATAATTATTAATCATTATTATTTTATATTTATAGAACTATCATTGATAGGTATCTGTATAATCTATACATATATTATTATCAATATTATTTTATGACTAGTGTTATGAAATTTGTCGAGTAGTTGAGTTGGTTCAGTTGTTGTTCAGTAGTACATGCTCACGTATTTTGTGTTCAATATGTACGCCACATTTGTGGTTGTGGTGTGGTTATATTAACGTCGGTTCGGACTTCTAACGACCACAAAAAAGTGGTTCAAAAGTGGTTGTTCCAGCGACCGCACAACCACACGTCAACCACAAAAAAAACGCACAAAAGTGGTCCGTGTGTGTTAGGCCTAACAGCGGTAGTAAACTTATAGGACGGTATGAAGTTACTAAATGCTTTGGTTTTTCTGGCTTGGGAATTAATATTATTGTTGAGAATTTCCATACCTACTAGGGAAATATATGACTAACTAATGCTCTAACATGAGCATTGCATTGCATATGTGAGTTAGAAGAAGGATGGTTTGTTTGTTATTTTTTTGAGTATTTTGTTATTAATTATATCGTACCCTGGAGATTTGTTGTTGCATAGTTTTGTAATATTTTATTTTATTTCTTGTGGTGTATTTGGTTTTGCTGGTAGTGACATAGGTAGCAGACTGTCGAAAAAGTTTGAAAATTTTCTATGTGTGTTTTTATGTTAGCGCTTATATCTGAATGTGATTGGAAGATTTTGAATATGTGGTTACTGAATCAATTTGCTTTTTCATTATCGGTTATGGCTAAAAGGATGTTAGGGTTTATTAAAAAGGAAACTATGTCTTTTATTTTGGTTTTGTTTTTTATTGTTTTCCATAAGGAACCATCGACTGGTGTAAGTGATGAATGTAATTGATTGGCATTTGGTTTGTAGTTCTTTTTTTTAATTTATTTGTAATTTTGTTAAATTCGTGTTTATGGTCTGAGTAATGGGTTTGTTGCCAAATTATTTATTTTTTTTTATTATTATTTTTCTTGCTTGACGTTTTTTGTTAATTAATTCTTTTAAATTCTGCGGTAAATAAATATATTGGTGTGGTTTTATTGGTATATTTATAATTTGTGGTGAGTAGGTTTAGTTCGTTATTGCTATATAATTCATAAAGCGCTTTCTATAACCTCTTGAAATTTTAATCGAACTTTCAATGAAATAAGTTCGTCTAATTTTTTTGAAATATATTAAAATTAATCTGTCCAAAGTGTAGAGTATTGTTAATGTTTTCTGATTTACAACCTAAATAAAGTAGAATTGAGGAGTGGTCACTGGAGAGTTCTTCAAGGTTTTTTTAAATTATTATTTAAGTGGTTTAGTAGCGAGGTTATGAAAAAATGAATCGTTAGAGCTTTTGCAAGTTAAATCGTCTACCGGTTGTTTTATATTTTTTATTTTCTCACAAAATTCTTGATAATTTTGGATTTTTGTTCTAATAAATATTAGTGGAGGTAATTTTTGACGATTTCGTTTACTTCATTAGTTTCCATTTCCGTGTCTTCGTTTTGTGATAGAATACTGAATAAATTACGAATGGAAGATTGCGTGTTAGTTATGGTTTTAGTTGCTTTTGATAACGTTTTTTTTTTTTATTGGAATTTAAACGTTTATGAGATTTGGAAGGAACAACCTCAGTCCAGTCGTAATTGAAAACATCATTCATATCAGGTTCACTCGACTAGCTATTATTAATTTTTTTTTTTTTTTGTACGGTGTTTTAGCTTATAAATTTAATCGGAGAGATAATTTTAGTTGATTTAGTATTCATTTTAATAAGGTGTTGTTACGTAACTGAACACAGATTGTAAGATATATGTCTTACGTACCAACATGGGTTTTAATAATTTAAATGCTTACAAAAATCTTGTCTAGGGTTTTTGGACACCAGTCAGATTGTGATATTTTTGTTAAAAAGTACTTAGGAAATTGTATTAACACTTTTCACAACAAAAACAATAAAATATTTGGTTTGATTTTTAATAAAATAATAATAATGATAATGCAAACATCACGAGTGCGGAACATCGAATTAATGTGTGTTATGACGAAAATGTTTTCTAGCGAGTACGTCCGAAATTCTCGTCAGATCAAGGCGGTTATACTGTGCGCATTTTTGATATTCTAATAGTGAGTACGTATCTGCTGTCCAGCAAATATGGACGAAATCGATTTTTCTTGAAATTTCGTTAATGAGGTTACCACTGTTAAATGTTGGAAAACAGAACTTGTTAACCAATTATTTTCGAGAATAGACGACAAATGAGGGTTTCAAATATTATTTCAAAAATTGAGGGAAATTCCGGAAAAGTTAGTGTTGCTAATTTACAACAGTTAGTGTTTTACTAAATGCTGGGATCGAGTTTTATAGAGACTTTTTCCCACTTTTGACGAGAAATATCTTTGTTATGGTAATTTTTGTCACTCATATCCTAAAAAATCCTGTTATCGTACACAAGAATGATCAATTGATCATAATCATTGATCAAATTAGCCAAATTAATTAATCAAATCACTCGAAATTCAACACACGAAAACATCGAATACAGATACAGGTCGCACGAAAAAATCAAACTTATTTGAACGATCAACTGTTTCTGACGAAGTCGTGTATGTTCTGATGTATTCGTCGCAGTCAATGTAAAACAGGCGTTTGTTCTGACGAATCCGTCAAAACTCGTCAGAATACATTTTTGTCAGAACTCGCATCCAAAGTAACCGTAACCTTAATTAACTTTTAAATTCGAGAAATCTAGTTTCTCATTGTATTGAGAAAGGTATTCATTCATATCTATTTATCTCATATAATAAGGTTTTCTTACCGCCATATGCAATAATGATTAAGACTTTGGAAGCCAATTATTCAAAAAACGGTCGGACTTTAGTTCATTCGATTTCTAAAAATTATTTCGACCAGAAAACGGTTGTCGTCGGGAATATCGATTGGTGAGGAAACGTTAAAATCATTATTCGGAAGTCTGTAGTGACCGGCTAGACTGCGCCATCGCACGCGGTAACTATACAATCGCGATCAGGTGTTTACAGTACAATTAAGCTCGAGCGCGGACCGCGACACGACGACACGAGGCGAGATTCCAAACTGACGACAGAGTTACGTACCCCATCGACAGTAGAATGCGCATCGTTTTAAAAATGTTTTATAATTATAGAAAGTGTGCGTGTGGACCGAAGAACCCGCCGTGATACTTCATTCGCTACCGGACAATGACAAGTGCCCGACGATGGCGTGTACGATCCGTTTCTGTTGATCGATCAAGGACGCCTGCAAAACATCACTCAAAGTGTTCTGTTAAGAGTCCAATTTTTTTTATTGGAAACCCATCGATAGCGATTATTTTTGTAATTTTACGTAGGTAGTTATGTAGTAAAGTTCACTCTAATAATATTATATTTTTAAAATTATTGAGAATTTGAGAATTATTATCTAAAGAAATTCTTTGAATTTCTAACATTTTATACTTGTCTCGGTATTGATTAAATTTTAAATTTGTTGACGAAGAAAACATAACTTAAATAATACTCAGGTAAGCTCCACAGTGAAATTCAATAATCAAAGTAATTATTGCTCGAAAACGATATAGATTCTTTAATTGGAAAAAAATAATAAAACAAGTATTTTAAAAAGCCACAGTATAATCCTATCGGATTCTATTTAACATTCATGGAACGAAAGTTGTACTAAACAAAAAAAACATTTTATTTCTTATTTTAATATATCTTAAATCAATTTAATAAATTTAATTTTAAGAAATATTATATTAATACTATAATAGTAATAAAGAAAAATAAAATAGTCGAATCAATAACGCTCTAAGACATGGTTCTATAATATATCTAGTATTGACATTGTACTTGAAATAAGAATATAAACAATGGAGGAAGCACTTTAATATGTAAACAAAATTGATTCTGTATACGCCTATTACATGGTTAAAAAAAAGTTATTAAAAAATATTTTATTTTATCGTGTGATTGTACCAACTAAATTTTATTTCAAGTGAACTTTTTTTTCATGTCAAATTATGGGTGCAAATAATAGTAAATAATTAATAAATTATTATCCACAGTAAAAAGTTTAACGCTCTTATATTTTTTGATGAAATTTGACAAACAAAAAAATTGAAAGAAATACTCAGAATTGTAATAGATTTCTAAACATTAAACAACTCCTTCCAAAGTATTTTTATCTCCGTTAAAATGATCACAATAACCGTGGACTATAGATCACTGAAATTTTCTAGATTCATTTTAATACAAATATTTTTTTATAACAGCTGAGTCGTGGCAAGAAAATGGTAAGAGTTTTTTTTAAATTTATTCAATAACAGCTCAAATCTTAATAAATATTAACTATCGCACGTTTAGATATTCCATAAACAATTACTATGAATGGCCCAAAATATTTCACAGATTAAAGTATTACCATAAAAACATAGATAAGTACCTATGTCGTCAAAATCTGTCAAATATTTACGTGCACATTTACGATCACTAAACTAGTAACTGATTACGTTGTTCGTTAATAGAACTGGCTTTTTTTTTTTATGTAGCCAACAAATTCTCTACTTACTATATAAAATTGTAAGGGGTTTTCTACGACTCCGCTAACCAAAAAAACTACTGAACCGATTTGGTTGAAATTTTTTACTGTTTACCTGATAGTCTGCTAAAGGTTTTAGTACCACTTTTGTTTGTAAAATGCTACTCGAATGTATACTCTGTTTCAAAAGACATTATTTGAAGCAAACGAAATATCTGAAGGGAACTTCATACCCACTTTTAAAATTCAGGGTCAAGTGCACCATTTGATAGGTAGTTTATTACCCGAAATTGGAAATTATGCTAAATTTTTACAAATATATTTTATATCAGAGTCGGATCAAATATCTAATAGAACAAGTAAGATTCCAAATTTAAAAAGAGGTGTCATTGAATCATTGCAAACAGTTTTTCATAGATCATTTGTTTCAGATCTAATCTAGAGTCAAGTTCCTTTATTGAGTTGCAAAACTTTAAGTTAATTATTCACGCTGATCGAATTTCTCAAGAAGAACACAGTGGTCAATATAATGCACCTACAACCGATGAAGTAGCTGTATTATTAGTTAATAAAGATAAAGGTCCCAGAGACATAGTTCTGCACGGTCGGGGTGGACATTTGCATCGAGTTTCCAAATTGAATAGATCTTATAATCTACATAAAACATCACTGCTATATCCGTTAATGTATATTAGAAGTGAAGATGGTTATCACATTAATATTGTACAGTAAAATAACCAAAATCGAACAAAAACTGTTTTCTGCGTGCAATTTTACTCTTGAATATTCATGGTTAGAGAAACAAGTCTAAATCGCCTACATTATTACAAAACCTTGTACTTGCCGTTTTTATTCAAACGGCTTCAATTACTTGTTAATTTTTTTTTTTTTGCAATTACGATTAACAAAACTCAAGATCAAACATTTAGGTACGTAGGAGTAAATCTTCGTTCAGGTTATGATTTTCACATGGACAATTATACGTGGGATTTTCTCGAAATGAAGACCCAAATCATCTAATGATTTTGATTTCAATATGAGATAGAACAAAAAACGTTATATACTCAGAAGTTTTATAAAATTTCTATTATATCTTTGGTATCAACAGATTAATTAATATTCTTTTTGTATCTGTATTAATTTTTTAATAAAAATATAATTTTACCATTTTTTATATTTACTTGTGAATCACATTAAAGAATTCTACAAATCATCGTCCAAAGGCAAAATAAAAAACCGATCACGGACGAAGTCGTGACAAATCAATTAATTTAATTATATCGAAATAAATGATAAATGTTATAAATTCAATAACTCAAATCAACAAACTTAATTGTATAATATTTCATTATAACCTCACAATTTTACGTATTTTAATATACTAAACATAAATAAATAGCAAAAAAAAAAAAACGTTAAAAAACACAACATTTTATAAAAAGGTAATTTAAACTTCACAATTTTGTTTTATTGACCGCTCAAATACTAACAATAGTCCATTATAAATAAAATATTTCTAAGAAGGTTTTTTAAGTTCCTACACGTCTCTAAAACCTCGTTTACATTAGGCGAATTTACTCGCTGCTCATAAGCAATTAAAGTCACGCGCAAATGAACGACCGACTTGTGCGAATACAATCTAGCTAATAAACTTGCTTGCACGTACATGTGACTTATCACAATCACGCGTTGCGTCATTGGCGCCAAACCCTATACTGAGGTCGGGCTTTGGCCAGACATCTTCTGAAAATGTACGATAGAGCCGCTTAATAAGGACCGAAATGTGGTTGCCAAACCGTATAAAAGCTTCATTACAAAAGAATTAACGCTAAATGAAAGTTCTTAAAAACATTGGTAGAAGGTTGTATTGATGCTCCCTCACTTCTTTCGTTGATCAATTTCAAAGTTCCTTCTTGTACTACTAGATATCGTATTTCTGTGAACACTACCAATTATGGTAGAAATAATCTTTTAGACCGTACAATGCAGTTGTCTAATGTGAGGATCATTTATCAAAACTGAAAAAATTAGGCATTACTACTAATATTATACGCTTTTATTATTATTATTACCATTATTAACTTATACACGTGTCTTATTTGTATTAATTATTGAAATTTTTGTATAGGGCTCGTTAATAAAGGTAAACAAATAAATAAATAAATTACAAAATTTAACCTTGATATTAATATTTTTTGACTGAACATATTTTTAGAAACTCAGCACCTCTGGGTACATTGATTATTGTTTATAAACGCAATCTTCATACGATTTTTATGTTTTTTACATAAAACCTTACTCAATATCAATTATTATAATACTTATGATCACGTGGACTACCTGTAGTCAAATACGTAAATAATGTGATCAGTTGAGACAATTTTTATTGTCCTTCATGAGCGTTTTTGAGGGGAGGGTCAAAGAGAGCATTCACCCCCCCCCCATGGTTCGTATTTTTTTTGAATATTATACATTGATTTATTTAAAAAATGTAATTTATAAATAATTAAGAATATAAATTACTAGTCCATCATTATAATTTGTTGCCATTATAACAGAAACATGAGCTGTAGATAATGAACTGTGAATTATTTTTAAGTTTGTATTGAAGAAAAATTAGTTCCCCCCCCCCCCCCCATGGCCTCAACTCAAATACGCCCTTGTTGCTTTTGTCAAATAGTTTTGGGACATTCTGTAAATGAAATGTAGATAAGTACAAGTGTCTTGTTAGTAAGTCTTAGATAGCAGTGGCAATTTAACTCTGTCCATGGTAGCCCCTCCCGAAAATATTTTCTGTATACGCCACTGGTGAGTCCTATATGGTCCACGCATTGTAATTCATTATTGTTGCACCGGTCGAGATTATTGTAATATTCTAATTTGTATTTGTTTATAAAATATATATCTCGTATCGGTAAAGTCAGCTAATTGGATAATTATATACCGCCACTTAAAATGCAGCACTACAAATCTTACATTTTGGTCAAATTGAGTTAGCAACACTGTTTTATTCAAAAAATCGTGTAGAATCGACTGATTAAAATCAGTGCATACATTTTCTAAAATTAAAATATATCTCCGTGATTATAATAAAAATAAAAATATCAATGGAAGTCAAATAAAATTTATTTAAACCAGTTGCTCTTCTAAAAATTTGAAAAAAATGAGATACGAGGTGTTACATCTTAAGGGACAATATTAATAATAGATAAACGTGTCATTTTTCTTATAACTATTTATTATTATTTTCTGTCTTCATTGTATTCATTGTCTTTGGCAAATGTATAATAGGTATTGTTCGTAATTAAAGCCCAGTGTATTTGTATCATTGCATTTTATAAACCAACATAGATATTTGGATTTAACATATCATTATCCTTGTATTATAATAATTTATTATGATACTATTCACTATTATATATTATGCTTTGTAAACCGTCTTAGGCAATTATTTAACCAACCGGCTATGGCAAAAATTATTATATTCATACTTTGATTATATTATTAAATACCTATAGCATGGTTACAAAATTGATTTGTATTATTAAGAAAAATATAATCAATATTAATAAAAAGAAAAGTGTTAAATGTATTCAATA